ACTCACTTGCTTGGGTGGATGGTGTTTTCGTGCACGTGTATTCTGTAGCGGGACACGGGTGGCACTGTGGGTTAAACCACAGAGCCTAGGACTTGCCGATCAGAAGGTCGGCGGTTCGAATCCCTGTGACGGGGTAAGCTCCCATTGCTTGGTCCCTGCTCCTGCCCACCTAGCAGTTCGAAAGCACATCCAAGTGCAAGTAGATAAATAGGTACCGCTCCAGCGGGATAGTAAACTGCGTTTCCATGCACTGCTCTGGTTCGCCAGAAGCGGCTTAGTCATGCTGGCCACATGACCCGGAAGCTGTACACCGGCTCCCTTGGCCAATAAAGCGAGATGAGCGCCGCAGCCCCAGAGTCGGTCATGACTGGACCTAATGGTCAGGGGTTCCTTTACCTTTACCTTTGTTCTGCAGCACGTCATTGACACCACAATAGTGAATTAGCTGTGGATCACTACTGGACTGGCCACACATCGTTCTGCTTTATTTCGTTGTCATATTTTGCCCCAGTGTTACCACATTGTTGCTGTCAGAGGGGGCGCACTCTTGTGCTATAGCACAACCAAACAGGACAAAGAACATCTGTGGTATGAAACGTTATTGGGATTCAGCAGGAAGCTTCAGCTTCAGCAGGAAGCTACAGGACTTGCATGGTTTGGAAATGAAGGAGGTTATTTACCATGAAACCTCTGCAGGTGTCAATAGTATTGAAAGTAAAATTTCTGCCCTGATACCATCATGAGCACACACTCTTAGGAACACACAATAAAAAGGACTTTGGGAGGGACAGCTTGGAAATAATATAAGAATCTGCTGCTCTAATTCTATCTACGTTTAATTATATATGTCAGGATAAATATGAAGGGGTGTGTGTGTGTGTGTGAGTGAGTGAGAGAGAGAGAGAGAGAGAGAGAGAGAGAATGAGTTGTAACCTTTCCCTCAAGGCCATCATGATAAAATGTAAAAATATTATCCCATCTTAAAAGTTAAGTCCTAACAAATTACAGTACGTAATGCGCATGCAATGGGAGGTTAATGGGAGGTTGCCTGTTTTTTAAAACAACAATCACAGAGGAAGCCAGGTCCAAAGTAAGTAGGTGGATTATTTTTTAATAGGTCATAGGATGAAATGCAACTCCAGTGAGAATTATCCACAGCTCATTGCCATTCGATAGCTCTTTGGTATTTCCCCCTCCCCTTTTTTTAAACTGAAGGATCACAACATTGTCAACCAAAGCTTAGGCAACAAATCCATCTCTGATTGACTATTGTAATGTGAGAAGCAAGCGGGGGTGGGGGACTTCATGGCTGTAATCCAACAGAGGAAGCGCAGAGCAATTGCAGGGGTGTGCAGGTACCTTGCTAAGGAAAGCTGAAACCCCACCAAGCAACTGACAGGAGGGGAAGGGGGAGGCTATTGGACTAAAGTCACCCCCTCCTCTAGTCCCTTTCCTGAGCAGACTGGCAGCATATGAGCTTCTAAAAAAAAAAAGAAGATGCTAAATATGCACAGCATTGCTATTGGAACAGGCAGGAGAATTGTGCTGTGCGTGTGTCTTCCCGTCCAACAATGTGTGTGCAAGTCTGATTTCACACGTATCTTGACCCTAGCGGAGTGGGGCACATCAATGACTCCAGACCAGCATAAAACTAGGGTATTGTCGTCCCTTTCATACATTATTTTTAATATGCATTCATGACTGTTTGTGTTCATGATGGTTGTTGTTGTTTAGTCGTTTAGTCGTGTCCGACTCTTCGTGACCCCATGGACCAGAGCACGCCAGGCACTTCTGTCTTCCACTGCCTCCTGCAGTTTGCTCAAACTCATGCTGGTAGCTTCGAGAACACTATCCAACCATCTCGTCCTCTGTTGTCCCCTTCTCCTTGTGCCCTCCATCTTTCCAACATCAGGGTCCTTTCCAGGGAGTCTTCTCTTCTCATGAGGTGGCCAAAGTATTGGAGCCTCAGCTTCAGGATCTGTCCTTCCAGTGAGCACTCAAGGCTGATTTCCTTAAGAATGGATAGGTTTGATCTTCTTGCAGTCCATGGGACTCTCAAGAGTCTCCTCCAGCACCAGCATTCAAAAGCATCAATTCTTCGGCGATCAGCCTTCTTTATGGTCCAGCTCTCACTCCCATACATCACTACTGGGAAAACCATAGCTTTTACTATACGGACCTTTGTTGGCAGTTCATGATGGTATCAAGCCATTTATACACAATCACACTTTGAATACTGTTCGTGACTGCCGAAGTTTCAGAGTGGCATACGGCTTTGTTTCCATTTAGTAGGTACCTGCTAAAGACTTTTTTTCGGCCACCAATGTTCTGTTGTGCATGTGTTTTGTCCTGCATTTGTTGTGCCCCTTCAGACAGCAATGGTGCCCCAGCTGAAGCCTGCACAATAAACTCCCAGGCTTAGCATTGCAGTGTGCTTCCTGCTTTGTGTGTGTGAGCGTCACACACACACACACACACACACACACACACACAGAGTGTTTACAAGTACAGCAATCCTACACCCAATTTCTTGCCTGAGCTCAATAGACTTACTTCTGAGTATGCATGCATGCATAGAATTGCATTGTAAACATACTAGGCTCAGCATTCTTCTCCTCAGTTTCACCTGTCTGGACTCAGACCCTCCAAGTGTCCCTATTTTCCAGGGACAGTACCGGATTTACAGACGTCATCCCAGTTTCAGATATGATCCTGGAATGTCCCACTTTTCCTTAGGATGTCCCTATTTTCATCGGAGAAAAGTTGAAGGGTTTGGAGTTATGTGACCCCCTGAGCCAAGGAGATAAGTAACTTTACAACCTTTAGAAGGTATCTGAAGGCAGCCCTGTATAGGGAAAGTTTTTTTTTTTAATGTTTAATGTTTTATGATGTTTTTATATATGCTGGAAGCCGCCCAGAGTGGCTGGGGAAACCCAGTCAGGTAGGGAAGAAGAAGAAGAAGAAGAAGAAGAAGAAGAAGAAGAAGAAGAAGAAGAAGAAGAAGAAGAAGAAGAAGAAGAAGAAGAAGGAGGGAATAGGATGTCCCTATTTTCATTGGAGAAATGTTGGACGGTATGTGGACAGTCCCACTTTTGATGTAGTTTTGCACTCAAGCAAATTCCCACCATATGGAGAACGGACTCTCAGGGAGATCTAGCTTATCTTTCCCCCTGAACTGCTCCTTTTCTATATTTTGGAAACTGTTTTTGCATGCGGGTGGCTGGGGGAAGCTTTTGTTGTATAAGCCCTCACATGTTCATCGTCTCCTCTATAGCTGCAAGAACAAGGCCACAGAAGAAAGGGAGCGAGAGGCCGGTGGGTGGAAGTTGCCTGCTTAGAACTAGTAACATAAAACAATATTGCCCTCTAGTGGGTTCATGACAAGTTACTTGTCAGGCCATTCAAGAGAAATGGGATGCAGCAGCAGCAGTCAACTAAATGTGTTTCGGATCAGGATGGTAGAGAGAGAGAGAGAATAGGTTATCTCTTTTATAGAACCAATGTTTATTTGTTAGGAAAAGCTTGCTTTCCATTAATGTTTCATCATGCTCTTCTGTACCACAAAGAGCATGTGTGTTTTGCTTAAGCCTGGAGACAGGTCTGCAGAACTGCTTACGTTGTGGAAAAATATTGTGTTTCTTTATCCCCAAGTGTCATTCCAGCATCCCTAGGTGTAACTTGAAACCTGCACAGCACCCAGAAGATTATTAATCTATTAAGTCTGCTATCTCTTCATCCAATGGATGGGGAAGAAATTTAATTTTTGTTTGCATTTTTAAACCAAGATATGAATGGAAACACAATCGCCCTTTGAAATTCATACTAAACGATTGAGTTCCTACACAAGGGAACCGATATTATGTGGCACCTGTAATTCCACTGACTGAAGCAGTCAAACAGGCATCTGTGGAGCAAGGTGATCTCATAGGTAAACTGGTCTCAAGGGCTTTATACGCAAATAGCAACACCTTGAACTTGGCCCAGTAGCAAACTAGCAACCAACGAAGATCTCTGAGCACAGGTGTTCTCAGTGTTATATGCTGACAAAGCCTCACTCCTGTCAGCAGTTGTGCTCCAGCATTTTCGCACTAACTGCAGCTTATGGATCAAGCGTGACGGAAGCCCCACATAGAGCGCATTCCAGTAATTTGGTCTTGAAGTAACCAGCGCATGAACTACTGCGGCAAGGAATGCATGCCGTCCAACATTTCTCCGATGAAAACAGAGACGTCCCCTCCAACATTTCTCCAATGAAAATAGCGGGTGGCGCTGTGGCTAAACCACAGAGCCTAGGATTTGCCGATCAGAAGGTCAGCGGTTTGAATCCCTGCAACAGGGTGAGCTCCTGTTGCTCAGTCCCTGCTCCTGCCAACCTAGCAGTTCGAAAGCACGTCAAAATGCAAGTAGATAAATAGGTACCACTCTGGCGGGAAGGTAAACAGTGTTTCTGTGCAGTGCTCTGGTTTCGCCAGAAGCGGCTTAGTCATGCTGGCCATGTGACCTGGAAGCTGTCTGTGGACAAAACGCCGGCTCCCTTGGCCAGTAAAGCAAGATGAGCACCGCAACCCCAGAGTCGTCCGTGACTGGACTTAACAGTCAGGGGTCCCTTTACCTTTAAGGAAAAGTGGGGCATTCTGGGATCAAATCAGAAACCAGGACAGTTTCTGGAACCCCTGGAAAATTGGGACACTTGGAGGGTCTGGAATGGCCATAGCTGTGAAACCAGGCACAGTTTGTAAAAGGCTCTTGTAGCTGCTGGTGTGTTTATTGCAATTTCAGTCTCTGGGCAATCCCTCAAATGTGTGGGAATGTTAAGGACCGTAGGAAAGGATATATTGAATAAGTATTATCCTTCCTTCACTCACGCTAGTGAAGTGATGTAGCAAAGCAAAAACTAGCTGGAAGCTAGTTTGCAGATTCGTTTGAATCTCTTATTTAAGATTATTTCCTGGTGTCCCCTTTAATCCTTCTTAAAAGAATAAAGACACAGAAGTCTTTCTGAGTAAAGTAACAAAAAGTTTACTCACTTTATTTCAGTTCACGATATGATCCCTGAGAGGCAGACTTTACTTGGTAGTTACACAAAGAAACTGAGTTTATCTCCTATGGAGACCGAACTCATGTGCTGCCGGCTAAGAGCCAGCAGACAGCAAAAATTACATTAAGAGAATACAAAATGGCTGCAGGAGAGCAGCATGGCAGCAAGAGATAGGACAAGACAACAGACAAGAAGACAAAACAGACTGATCAAGACTCAGAAAATAGCTGCATGACTGGGCTCTTTTATGGAGTCATCCACACGCCACAATCAGCAGCACTGATTCCACATTTAACCACCACCACCCCGGTCTGGAAGCACCCTCAGATAATCTGTCTGGAATTTACTCAATTAAATGTTGGTTTAGGTTCTCGGTTGATGTTGCCTTGAGATTAATGCAGCCAGTCTGTGTGCTTGCTGCTGCTGCTGGTCTCATAATGCCTGTTCATGCAGGTCATTTGCGAATAAGAGGCAATATATATTTCTGGTGTAAACCATCCCAGGCAGATTGAGCTGTGTAAAGGCTGACATGAATTCACAGGGTTTGGGGAAAGGAAGAAGCCAAAATACTGTTCTTCAGGATCAGATTAGATGTGATTTTAATTGCATTTTTGTATCCTGAGCTTGCCATCAGCTACATATTTCTTCACAAATAGCATCAGCAGGGGACAATGTGTTCCAGGACAGAAGCAGGGTATAGGGAGAGTTGCTATTTGCCCATTTTTATTTTTTAAAACAATTTCTTGCCAGAAATACCATCTAACCTTAAGCATACAATGCATTGAGAAGGCAACCAGCTTTCGCAACCAGCGACTCGTTTCAAGGCAACAAAGTATTACTGTTTTTCAGATTCTCTAAATAGCCCAAAATGATAAGTTCACTATCGGTCCTTCTTGCATTTTTTGCGAAAAGAAAACAATTGTGTTACTGTTGAAAGTATTTTTATGGAATGGGGGAAACAACAGAACAGCACTACAGAAATTTCTGTACCAGTCGATCTCATTAAACAGAAGTGACATTGTATCTGTGCCACACAGTTTTGACAAATTAAGCAGAAATAAGATTTCTGCCGCCACCCTCCCCTTATAGGAAAATTAATGCCATAGTGATTCCTGTTCTCATTGCTCCTCTCTTCTCCCTGATCAGAACTGTGGTGAAGTTACATGGAACCCCTCTCACAGGGTTGTTGTGTGGATAAAATAAGAGGATGAATAACCCTGAGTAACTGGGAGGAAGTATGGCATATATATTTTTTGAAGTGTAATCAAAATAGTGTAGTATTCATGTGGTTACTTTACCACAAAGTGGTCAGCAGTTGTTTGAATTATCGTGGCACTATAAACGTAGCTTTTGTTGTATGTTGTGTGTTTCGAAGAGCAACATGCTGAATTCTTTATGGACTCTCAGCATGCGGAACTGGTCATGAGGAAAAATGGGCCAATGGCTGATTTTGCCATAAGAGAAATACCGGTATTTCCTTGAAGGAAGAGCTGCTCCATGGCTCAAGAATCTTTGCTTTCCGAAGCAGGAAATCCAAGAGTGATTACCTCAGCAAGTGAAAAACATAGGAATTTATTTATTTATTCAATTTATATCCCCTCTTTCTTCCAAAAAGCTGGTTCTAACCCACTTCTCCATTTATCCTCAAAACAACTCTATAAAGTAGATTAGACAGAGAGACTGTGGCTGGCATAAGGGCACCGAGTTGGCTGCACAGCTGAGTGGAGATGTGAACCCTAGCATCAGAGATCCTAGTCCAGCACTCTAACCACTACCCCACACTGTGGTTTTAAAAATGGGGTTTTGTGTGTGTGTGTGCCCATCATACTCTGTGGTCCTCTGAAACTGAGTAGGCTATACTAAGGTAAATTCCAACCTGTTTTTACTTCCTTATTGACATTTGTGGCAAGCACTTCTCATGGGAAGGAGAGAACTCCTGATATAAACACAGTGTAATGTAGCGGTTAGAATATTGAACAGAGAGTGGAAGAATCTGAATTCAAATCTTCACAAACTCGGTGAATTCACTGGGTGTACCCGCCTCCCAGCCTAAACTGCCTCACAGGATTATCATTAAGGATAAATGTGATCGGAGAACAATGTGCAAAACCCTGAGCTCCTTGGAGTAAAGGTGGAATAGGTAAAGGTAAAGGGACCCCTGACCATTGGGTCCAGTTGTGACTGACTCTGGGGTTGCGGCACTCATCTCGCTTTATTGGCCAAGGGAGCTTCTGGGTCATGTGGCCAGCATGACTAAGCCACTTCTGGTGAACCAGAGCAGTGTACGGAAACGTTGTTTACGTTCCTGCTGGAGCGGTACCTATTTATCTACTTGCACTTTGACGTGCTTTCGAACTGCTAGGTTGGCAGGAGCAGGGACCGAGCAACGGGAGCTCACCCCGTCGCGGGGATTTGAACCGCTGACCTTCTGATCGGCAAGTCCTAGGCTCTGTGGTTTAACCCACAGCGCCACCCGCGTCCCAAAGGTGGAATACAAAGGTGATAAATAAAAATATAACTTGCAGCAGAAGGCATCCATTTTCCAGCAATAGCTGACCTGTCTTAGAATAGTTGTTGTATGAAACAGTAGATTAATAGCCCCAGTGTCATTTTCAATAGCTCAGAGAGCTGTAATAGACAGATTCCTGGCTTTATCATTTCAACAAGGTCAAGCGATGGGAGGATTTAAGACGAGTGTGAGAAAATGTCTCTGTGTATTTCATTATCTTGTCATTGCTTTTGCAGTTGCATTTGGCACAGAAACCCAGCTGAATTTTTCCAAGTAGCTACTTTCGAAAAAGGCATGTATCCTGAAAATATGTGCCGCCATTCCAGCTCCAAGGCCCAATCTGCCCTAGATCGCCCCAGAAGTTCCTTCAGGCTATGCTGCGACACCACAATAAAGTATTTCAGGCAAACGGCACATCAAATTATTGCGGGTGGTCCTTTGAGAACAGTAGGGCCCTGTCTGTCCTGCCAGTCATGATAATAAGAGTGTTTACAACACTGGAGATCAATGGTTCACTTAAGCAAAAAGATTTACTGCACTGTAAATTGCTTGTCTAGACAGATTTGCTGCTCTGATCTCTGTAAAAGTAAATCTTTGACTCTCTTAAGGCTGCAATCCTCAAGCCACTTACCCCAGAAAAGTCCTACTAACTAGGGTGGGATTACACCACAGCAAGTGACTGCAGACCTGGAGCCTTAGAGCTACAGGGCAGATGTAATCTGCTAGGGTGGGAGCACATTGTACATGGTCATGGGTTAAAAGCAGTTTCCCACCCTCTTAATCTGCTTTTCTTTGTGACTGACAAAGTGCAAATATTCTGCACAAAGCCATGTCCCCTTGAGGCAAGCTCAGCGACTGGAAAGACTCAGAACCAGTTGACCTTTCTCTTGCAATTTCCTAGGGAAATACTGGCACCCTGTTTCCTGTGACAGCTCATCCAAGATGCCACCAACATCGTCTTATGAGTCTAAGGCAGGCATAGGCAAACTCCGGCCCTCCAGATGTTTGGGACTACAATTCCCATCATCCCTAGCTCACAGGACCAGTGGTCAGAGATGATGGGAATTGTAGTCCCAAACATCCGGAGGGGCAGAGTTTGCCTATGTCTGGTCTAAGATCTTGAAAGCTAGGTACAGAGCTACCGACATCATGCGTCTCCTGGCTTGTCTTTTTTTGAAAGTAAAAAGCCCCTTACAGGAGTGTCAACTTGGCTCCGAAATTTGTGGGTGCCCGGCCCCTTCATGGGGAATTTTGTGGGCACTCAGGCACTCAGGGCCCCATATGTCTCTAGAATATCACAACAGTTCAGGCAAAAGGATCCAACAGCGAGCTCATTACAAGTTTCTGGACTGAACCAAACCCAAATGTTGAGAAATTAACTATAAACTAGGCCACATTCCACTGATGTTTTAATGTTTGTTACGTGGGTTTAAAAATGGAGGCAATGAACATAAAACAGTAAAACCAAAAGCAAACGAAGTGTAATATTCTTTAGTTTATAAGACGCATTTATTAGTTTATCCTACTGGATATTAGCCATAACAGATGTATTAGTTAACAGTAGTTTGATAGTCTACGACTCGGCTCAAACTAGGCAAGATCACTACATCATAGATCAGCTAAGTTACCAGCCTGAAATGTTTAATTGGTTAATTGGTTAAATTAATAGATTAATCACTTCTAACCAAGTAAGAAGGTGTCCCCGGTTTTAAAATTTATATATCATTTTAATACAAATCTTGATAACTACCGTTTTATAAAAGAGGCAGTTTTTCTAAGATGGCGCCTACTATGAAACAAGTTTCGTATTAGCTTCAAGCGGAGAAATTGTGCATCCTGATTCAGGACATTTGCTTTTGTCCACATGCAACTTTAATCAATTAATTAAAATTTATTAAGTCATATGATCAAACAGCTAAGATTTGTTGACAATGGTCCCACAAAGCACTCATTTCTCCTGCTTGCTCCTCCTAATAACTAATAGAGTCCAACCCTTCACAGGGCTGGAGCTGACGGAAGTTTAGACCAAAACATCTGGAAGTCATTAGGCTGGTGAACCTGTTTTTCACCCATGCTGGTGGAAAGAGCTTCTGAACACGCTCTTTGAGGCCCCCCCCCTCCACCATCTCCTCAAAAACTCTCTTCATATTTTTACATTTTAATTCTTTCAGACGTAGTGAAATAAATCTTCAGAACAATACTACACTGTGGCGATCAATGTTAAGATCAAATCAACATCAAAATCAATGTTGCAAAAATCAAATTACATCTAAGCATGCGCCATCTGTAAACTCTGGCTCCAAAGGGACTACAGAAGCAGAAATACTTAATATATGGCCATGAAACAGGACAAAAAAAGACAGAGGTTGTAGGGCTCTTCTTACTCATAATGAAAGCCTTTCGACGAATCAAGCTGACTCCTGGCATGGTCATACCAGACAATCCAGACAGGATCTGCAGCAACATAAGCTCCAAAGAAGGCTTTCTCAGGTACTCTTCCCATTCTTCTTCTCTTTTTCTGTAAATCTAACTAGCATAGTCTCTTGTAACCAGTCACTGTGGATGATCCATTCAGGAATGCACTTTATGATCTTTGCCTTTAGAAGGTATATATAAAAATGGGGAGACACATTAATATCTCATGCATATGGTTAGGTTTCATAAGATTCAGGCTGATCGTTTTTGCGTGTGATTTTTACAGGATAGCACATTGTGGTTGAATGGTAAACGCTACTGCTCAGATGACGGCCTTCTCGGTGGTGGCGCCTGCCCTGTGGAACGCCCTCCCATCAGATGTCAAGGAGATAAACAACTATCTGACTTTTAGAAGACATCTGAAGGCAGCCCTGTTTGGGGAGGTTTTTAATGTTTGATGTTTTATCATGTTTTTTAATATTCTGTTGGGAGCTGCCCAGAGTGGCTGGGGAAACCCAGCCAGATAGGCGGGGTATGTATAAACAAACAAACTATTATTATTATTATTATTATTATTATTATTATTATTATCATCTGCCTTTTTTAGGGTGGGAGTAAGAAAGGTGCAATGACAATGGGAGCTTCCAGGCCAATTGTCTATTAAGCATCCATGCAGAGACGCTCGCACAAAAACTTGCGCTGAAATTATAGGACATTGCCTACTTATCGTGCAATGCACCTTGCGTCTGCTTGCTCAGTCCACAAGCTGGCAAGGGGTTGGGATGTGGCAGATTGTCCACCATTTCACTCCCTAGCCCCCTTACCCATTTAGGATTGCACCCAAGGTTGCAATCCTAATTTTCATTGGGGGATGAGTCCCACTGGAAACAGTGGGACTGACTTTGGAATGGGCATGGATCGGATTGGGCAAGAAATAATGTTATTGAAGAATAGTCTTCAAAAGCCACCAGTAGCCCCTAGATGTTGATGATGGGGAATCCTAGCCATCTCCTTCATCTGATTAAAGTTTGCAGTTCAATTACCAAGAATTCATGAGATAAGGATCCACATGTCTCGTCCCCAAATGTGACACACTCCAACGATTGTCGAGCAAAGTCTTCTGCTGACTTCATGAAGAGATTGGTCTCTACCCAGTTGGTCATTTGAGTAGAGACACCCAAAGGAGTCAAAGCCTAAACCAAGAAACAAACACAGCAGCAGCAGCAACCTTTTCACAATCTTGAATGCTTTGGAGATTATAGGAGGGTTAAATGACAATTAGTGGAAAAAGCGCATCTCCTAGGATGGACTAAAGGAGAGAAATGGACATGTTTCACATAATTAAAAAGAAAGAATAGAAAATGGCAAAAACATCCAAGGTCTCCCGGTATCTCATCTATGCAGACGATTTAGATTTAGATTTATTGTAAAAGCAGAGAGATATAAATCACCTGTATGATAATTCCCTTTCCTTTATATTCTGCTTGAAGAGCTTTGGAAAACATACATACAAAAGCCTAGACAGACAAAATTAAATACATGTTAGTGTTTTGCACTTTAATTAATTGCCAAAACATCAAGAATCCCATCCCCACCCCCCAAACACTCTGATTTATCTTTCTTATCACTAGAGATAGAAGGATTTGTTAATTTTGGATATCCCAGTTTCTAATTTTTCCAATCTTAAATCCAGTTTGCTGGATCCATTTCTACAGCAAATTTGTGAATTTTCTTTTTTTTAAAAAAAATCCTCATGAAAATTCATCAGCATTTTAGTGTGACTTTCTCCTAATAAACACAAGTTTTGCAAGTCATGCTTCCTCATATAGCACGATTTTGTAGTTTTTAAATGAATATATTCCTTTATATGCACACTTTTACCTAATATGTGCATTTCTGTAAACATTAGTTAGATGGAAAGCTGCACTGCCAAATTCGGATCAATGCAGTGTTCGGGTGTTTATTCCTCGCTTAGCTTCTTCTAATGTGCTGCTTGTACTGTCTCTACATCCCATTGTTCTGAGCTGCCTCAGGTGACCCATTGCTGTTGTTGTTGTTTAGTCGTTTAGTCATGTCCGACTCTTCGTGACCCCATGGACCAGAGCACGCCAGGCACTTCTGTCTTCCACTGCCTCCCGCAATTTGGTCAAATTCATGCTGGTAGCTTTGAGAACACTATCCAACCATCTTGTCCTCTGTGATCCCCTTCTCCTTGTGTCTAAAACAAGCGCAGAATTCTCACCTTAGAAGCAGAATAGACTGCATATAACGGACAGACGAAGGTGCCTACGGCAGAAGAGACGTTCAGAATCAGTCCCTTTTGTCTGAAAAACAACATGACATAAAACTTGCAATGTAAACACTCTTTCGTTTTGTAACCTAATGTAAAAAATACCAAGGGCTTCCAATAAAAGGTAATGGTAAAGGACCCCTGAATGGTTAAGTCCAGTCAAAGGCGACTATGGGGTTGTGGTGCTCATCTCGCTTTCAGGCCAAGAAAGCCTATGTTTGTCCACAGTGCTCTTGATGTTCTCCAGGGAGGCATGCCACTGGTTGCACCAAGTAACACAACTGGATTCTGGAAGTTAAACCAAAGTTCATTCCAGTTTGAAAGCTTCTTCTTGTTTTTTTTCCTGTTTGTTTGTTTGTTTTTAAAATTCTTGAACATAAGAAAGAGGTTTACCTTGACACCATCTGTTTCAAAATCATCCGTGTCATCTAAAAATATATATATATGCATGAACAACAACAACAACAACAACAACAATTTATTTATACCCAACCACTCTGGGTTGCTTGCAACAAAATATAATAATTTATACGAGCCAGAGCATTAACACAGAGTAGACCATCTGGAATGTGCTATATACCAAACTACACAGCTCAACATTTCATGCAAATCCACCTAATTCACACTTCCTAAAACAATACTTGAGCCAAAACACAGCTATCCTTTGGAATGCAGGCTTCTCTGAATTTTGTGATCCAGTTCCCCAACCAAAAAACTGCGTACAAAAATGAATATATTTGGGGTGTAATTTGTAAGCAATTTCCCTAATATATATATTTTTTGTGTTATATTTGCTAATCTGTGCCTTTTTATTAACTTTTCCCGCGTTAAACACATTTTAGCACATTTTTGGGTTAGAGAACTGCATCGCAAAATTTGGAGAAGTGCCATTTTCAAATCATAGCTGCATTTCGGTTCATGTATCATTTGGGAAGTGGAAATCAGGTAGGTTCGCATTAAACTGTGAACTGAACGGAATGTTCCTTCATCTTCTTGGCTCAGACAAGGCTTTCTAAGAATGACAAGCATTCCGTTCAAATGTTGCACTTTTGTTCTGGCAAGCACACAACCTGCAACATGTCTCCATAAAGTGTGAAGCAGCCCACAGCAACCACAATTCAGTTTGGTCCTCAAAAACTCCTCCAGGATCTTCTCAGTGAATAAGAAACATAGCTATCACCAGCTATCCACATTGTGTGAGGAAAACATCTTTGACCACAGCCGAGATGTCTGTGAAATCTCCCCCCCCCCAAAAAAATATCTTTATTTTCCACACATGCATATCTATTGTGTGGTACATACCTTGGTGACAGAGAAGATGTTGCAGTTGATGAGGTCCTATAGGGAATAAAAAATGGATTACATGAGAGGCTGACTGATCTGGTGGAGAGAAAGAGTTCCAGAAAGTTCAATTGCACATAATGTCTTAAACGGGAATGGAGAGCATTTGGCACTGCAAGCGTTGTTGAATTTCATCTCCCGTATTCTCCTACCATTGGCCATCTGGCTGGGGCAGGACAGGGGTTGAAGTTCAACAACATCTGGCGGGCCACAGGAAAAAAAGGAAACATTTAAGGATGAATAAAGGTTGTCTGTGCCCAAACATGCCTTTTAATATAATGTGGTAGGAAAATAATGAATTTGTTTGTATGGGGCCACCCCACCAATAGGGATGAGGTGCCCTGCCTCAAATAACAGGCTTTGGGAGACCATTAAATGGTCCACAAAGTGTCAGATATAACTTATTTATAAAAAAAAACCCCAATACTCTCTCTGTGCATGGGGTGTGTGTGTGTGTGTGTATTTTCTACCTTGGATATCAAGATGTTGTGGGCCATTTTTCCATCTGCAGAACCATCTTTTGAGCTATGTACTACAAGAACGGGATGGTTGTTGCACAGTGCAACATCAGCTGCCCAGAGTGGCTGGGGAAACCCAGCCTGATGGGCAGGGTATAAATAATAAATTGTTGTTGTTGTTGTTAGATGCACAGTGAAGATGCACTTGATTTATTCCCCAGTGATTAGGGTCAGCAGCGGAGCAAGCCAATTGTGGTGTAGTGGTTAAGAGCGGTAGATTCATAATCTGGTGAACCGGGTTCGATTCCCTGCTCCTCCACATGCAGCTGCTGGGTGACCTTGGGCCAGTCACACTTCTCTGAAGTCTCTCAGCTCCACTCACCTCACAGAGTGTTTGTTGTGGGGGAGGAAGGGAAAGGAGATTGTTAGCTGCTTTGAGACTCCTTAGGGTAGTGATAAAGTGGGATATCAAATCCAAACTCTTTAAATTGGGTGCCTGGGACGGCACGCATGCCCTGCGCCCTGGGCAGGGGCAGCCACCTGTGGGGTGGGGTGAGCTGGGGCAGGACGTCCCATGGGGCCTCCAGAGTCTGTCTGCCTTCTCCCACTCAGCCGCCCTACAGCTGAGGGGGAGGCGGCGAGTGGACCGTTTGGGCAGCGCGGTGCCTGCGGGCGCCCAAGCCACCACGTCACTCCCAGGAGAGCTGCGTGGTTCAGGCATCCTGCAGGCCCTGCGGTGAGTGCCGCCCGTCATTTTGTCACCCCCCTCAGCGGTGACACCCGGGGTGGCCCGCCCCTACTGCACCCCCTTCGTCCGCCCCTGATTAGGGTGGCCATGTGTCCCACTTTGAGCGTTGACCAGTACACATCTGGTTTAAAGTGAAGGAATAATCAGGTCGCACAGGCACGGCTGAAACAGGAGGCAGCTCAACTCTCCGTGTTTTACTGCATGCAAAACTGCATGGGCCACCGCACCCTCCCCTCGCTAAAGGTACTGTAATCTAAGCAGAAAAGATATAAATCTGGCTAGTAAATATAAGGCAGGACACTGTCTGCTAGATCAAAACAGCTACTCGCTGGGACCAGTGAGATTTATAATATAGCCCTATTCATGTTTGTTCAGAAGCAAGTCCCATAGTTTTCATTGAGACTTACTCCCCGTAGGTGTGCATAGGATGGCAGCCTCAATTTTTCTTTCTCTGTTATGCTCAGGCCATCATAAAGTTGGGCATTATAGATTAATTCTACTGCATTTCCCCATTGCCTTCCCTTATGCTTGCAGGGTTTTTTCCTATGGATTCTGCAGAGACTTTATCATTTCTGCACTATGGTCTTCAGGGAAATAAAGGGTTTAAGGACTTTGGCTAAAAATAGCTGGTCCAATAACTCTGTGGAAATGTCTTATTCTAGGGGGGAGTCCATGTGGTGCCCTTCAAATGTTGCTGGACCACAATTCCCATCATCCCTGTTCATTGGCTATTCAGGCTGGGGCTGATGGAAATTTGCATCTAAGAACACCTGGAGGAACTTGCGATACTGGCTACACTTGCTCTGTTCAGATTGAATGTAACTTGATCGAAATTAATTCAGTGAACAATAAATGTTGTTGTTTAGTCATTTAGTCGTGTCCGACTCTTCGTGACCCCCTGGACCAGAGCAAGCCAGGCACTCCTGTCTTCCACTGCCTCCCAGAGTTTGGTCAAACTCATGTCCGTAGCTTCGAGAACACTGTCCAACCATCTCGTCCTCTGTCGTCCCCTTCTCCTTGTGCCCTCCATCTTTCCCAACATCAGGGTCTTTTCCAGGGAGTCTTCTCTTCTCATGAGGTGGCCAAAGTATTGGAGCCTCAGCTTCAGGATCTGTCCTTCCAGTGAGCACTCAGGTCTGATTTCCTTAAGAATGGATAGGTTTGATCTTCTTGCAGTCCATGGGACTCTCAAGAGTCTCCTCCAGCACCACAATTCAAAAGCATAAATTCTTCGGTGATCAGCCTTCTTTATGGTCCAGCTCTCACTTCCATACCTCACTACCCTTGCCTACCATCACTACCCTCATGGATCACTGCCTTGCCATGGCGAAGGGGCTTGAATAACTCAGAGAAACTATGAGCTATGCCATGCAGGGCCACCCAAGATGGACAGGTCATAGTGGAGAGTTTTGACCAAACGTGATCCACCTGGAGCAGGAACCGGCAAGCCACTCCAGTATCCCTGCCAAGAAAACTCCATGGACAAAGACAATAATAAATAAATAAACTAATTTCTCTGTTCCATATGAAAGGAAAGTGTGGGCCTTCTGAGCAGTTGCTTTCAAGAGCACAAACATAGAATAATCCTTACCCCGTCATTCTCTGGTCCATTAAGAAAACGGGTTGGAGAGGGGCTAGAAAGCATTCCAACGTTGTTAACTAATAAACAGAAACACAGTGAGTCACACAACTAGTTGGCACAACTACTTAGACCAGTTGCTGCTGGTTTAACCTGGTGCCTTCCAGATGTTTTGGACTAAAGGACCCCTGGACGGTTAAGTCTAGGCAAAGGCGACTATGGGGTTGTAGCACTCATCTTGCTTTTCAGGCCAAGGGAGCTGGTGTTTGTCCACAGACAGCTTTCTGGGTCATGTGGCCAGCATGACTAAACTGCTTCTGGTGCAATGGGACACCATGATGGAAGCCAGAACGCATGGAAGCGTTGTTTACCTTCCCGCTGGAGTGGTTCCTATTTATCTACTTGCACTTTTTGGCGTGCTTTTGAACTGCTAGGTTGGCAGGAGCTGGGACGGAGCAATGGGAGCTCACCCCGCCGTGCGGATTTGAACCGCCGACCTTCCAATCGGCAAGCCCAAGAGGCTCAGTGGTGGTGCTGTGTTTTGGACTACATCTACCTGGGACTGCTAGGAGTTGTAGTCCAAAACATCTGGAAGGCACCATTAGTAAAAGTTGCCTTAAACTGAGCTACTGTGAAGGCATAGCATCTGTTGAACTCATTCAGAAGATAATAGGCCTTTTAAACATAATACAAAATTGACCCCAGATCAGCCACTTGTAGGTCTGAGGAGGACCGGTTTGACACTATATAATTTCAATAACTATGAGAGACGAGTTTTGTTTTATTTACTTATTTGTTGCCTTTATCCCACCTTCCTCCCCTTCCAAAGGAGCTCAATGTGTTCCTGGTGTTCCTCCCTTTCCATTTTATCCTCACAATAACCATGTGAGGAAGGTTAGGCTGAGAGGCGGTGACTGACCCGAGGTCACCCAGTGAGCTTCAAGATGGCTGAGTGGGGATTAGGAACCCTAGTTTCCCAGATCCTAGTCCGACAATCTAACCGAGGCATAGGCAACCTCCGGCCCTCCAGATGTTTGGGACTACAATTCCCATCATCCCTGACCACTGGTCCTGTTAGCTAAGGATGATGGGAATTGTAGTCTCAAACATCTGGAGGGCCGGAGGTTGCCTATGCCTGATCTAACCACTACACCACACTGCCTCACTGCAACCCAAAAGGAACTCTTGAAAAGCGCTATTGGAAACTTTACCCAAAATTCCAATTTCTAATCCTTGAAGACCATCTTCAATGTCATTGTACACGTTCCTTCTGGTAAAGTCAGCTTGTATAATTTTCACTTTTCTCCCTGTGGACTGCTCTGCATTTGGGGGGAGAGAAAGAGAGTCATTTTTGTGCTCTTTAAGAATGTCCTTGGCTACTGCTAAGACAGCAATGCATTTAGGCAATACAGTGGTGCCCCGCAAGACGAATGCCTCGCAAGACGGAAAAACCGCTAGACGAAAGGGTTTTCCGTTTTGAAGTTGCTTCGCAGGACGAATTCCCCTATGGGCTTGCTTCGCAAGACGAAAATATCTTGCGAGTCTTGAGATTTTTTTTCGCTTTCCCCCCCCCTTTATCTAATCTGCTAAGCCTTTAATAGCCTTTAATAGCCTTTTAGCAGCTAATCCCCTAAGCCTTTAAGCCTTTAATAGCCGCTAAACCGCTAATAGCGCTAATAGCGCTAATCCGTCAATGGGCTTGCTTCGCAAGACAAAAAAACCGCTAGACGAAGACTCTCGTGGAACGGATTAATTTCGTCTTGCGAGGCACCACTGTATGCTAGTTCAATGGTTCTCAAAGGTGTCTCCTCCTCCCAAGACCTCTTGAATATTGTTGGGGGTCTCAGCTTTCTATAAAGCAAAACACATACATAAGTCATGTTTTAGCAACGCTTTCCCTTAAGCACTAGCAGAAGCATCAAAACTACAGTAGTGCTGTATTATGAAAATCACAGGCCCTAGGCCAGGATATTGACAAGGGATTCTTTAACTGGTGATTTTTAAGGGGAAAATTAGTAGACTGTAGCAAAACTGTATTATGGAAATCACAAGATTTAGGCCATAGTCTTGACAGCCTCACGGACAGCCTTGACAGACAAAACTACCCCTTTATCTCCATCATCATAAACAAACAAACAAGTCAAGTGCAGAATGGAGTAGAAATATTACTGACTGTGTTTTTCTGTGAAACACTTTAATGAAACAAGGTCACAGTTTGGAAACCTGAGTGCTGGATCCTGCCTTACACCAAAGCAGTGGCTGCAACTATTGCACCAGTACAAGAGCTCTTAAATTTAATTCTACATATGTACAGCCCACTCACAACTTCAAATGCTCTGTCAAGTGTGGATCAACTTTTATTTGCCAGCAAAATGGGTTGTGGGGTTGGGCTGTTAGATACAACATACACTTTCCTGGCAAAGGAGAATCTGGGATGCCCCACACTCCATGCAGTAAAGTTTTTTTTCTAGTCAGGCTATCGCCTAATTAAATAATTCCTAGTTGATTAATAAAATGAATTTTACAGGGCACTTCTAAGCCTGTTTATACAGCAAAATGTCCCACTGAATTCAAAGGTACTTCCTCCTGCACACTTAGCAAGTATGCTTCGGATTACAGTGGTACCTCGGGTTGCATATGCTTCAGGTTACAGACTCCGCTAACCCAGAAATAGTATCTCGGGTTAAGAACTTTGCTTCAGGATGAGAACAGAAATCGTGCAGCGGCAGCGCAGCGGCAGCAGGAGGCCCTATTAGCTAAAGTGGCACTTCAGGTTAAGAACAGTTTCAGGTTAAGAACAGACCTCCAGAACGAATTAAGTACTTAACCCGAGGTACCACTGTACAACCTAAGGCATAAAGATATCAAGTGATAACTTTTTCACATATTAGATACTTACCAATTTCAGAGGCTACCTTCTGCATTTTTGTTAGTGTTCTGCTAATCAAAACAATATTTAATCCACGTCTGGCGAGCTATGGAAGCAAGTCGTAAATATATTAGTATTTCAGGAATGATTGGGCTGCACTGATATGGCAGAAGCTACTCATATGCTTGTTGCATTTGTCCTAATATCTGCAACTGCAGAGGATACACAAGTGCAGCTGCAAGGAAGCAATTGCTTTCCAGTTGTGCAATGCAGGTCAGAGTGAACCGGGAAATTCTGACTCCTAGTGGCAAAAGTATTGAAATGCTAATAAAGGGTGAGATTATGAGCACCATTCAAGGTGCTCATTCACTGTCTCTATTTCCTGGTGGGATTCAATCACGTACTGGCAAATTCAGGCTGAACAATTATAGTGGACTGGGAAGTTTCATGTAACCAAAAGATGAAACTTTTTGCAATAAGGGAAATGATGGGGACCTGAACTGGAAGACGCAGAACACTTGCTCTGATGCAATGGCTTCTAATCTTCCCACAAACAAATCAGGTGAATGCTTTAAATAGCCAACATCATCTAATCTTCCTGCAAACAAATCAGGATAAATGCACAATAAGCAGGTCATAAGGAAGTTCCCTAACTCTCTTCTTTACATTCTCTAACCTTCCCCCTCCCCCGGGGTATAAGAACTGGGAACCAAATAAGACAAGACTGGGGTGGGTGTGAGAAGTACAAGATATCACTCTTTAAATACTTGAAATAGTGTCACATATCAGAGGGCAGGACTAGATCAAATAAGTTTAAATTACAGGAGGGTGGGTTTTAGTTGAACATTAGGAGTAAATGAATGCAGGTCAATTATGGAACCATTTGTTTATTTGGAAATAATACCACAGGAGGCGGTGTTCAGTAAAAAACACACACACATTCAAATTCAAAACAACAACTCATAAGCAATTGAATATACCAATAATAATAAAAACCACAATAGGCAGATGAAGATGATGGACTATATGGAACTTGCCGAACTGACTGGGAGACTCCGAGACCAGAGAGAAGAGACGGTGGAAGAAGACTAGAAGAAGTTTAAGGAATATTTGAAAAAATATGTTAATATTTAAATCTTTGAATAGCTTTGGAAGTGGATATAGGCTGTAGGGTTAGAAGCAGAATAAAGTTTATTTTAAAATAGTATTATTTTTGATAAAATGTGAAGCTATTTTAAGTTTGATTTAAAAAAAGATGGTTAGATACTATGATATATGTAAACTGCTAAAGATGAAGTAAAATGAAAATCAGATAGGTGGAACTTGGGGAAACCCACTTAACAATGTTTAGAAAAATAAGGATCTGACAAGAATTTGTTTGTATAGGTTTTTTTTTTTGTTCTTTATTTGTGTTATAAAATGAATAAAAAATTTTGGGGGGGAAAAACAAAATAAAAACAACCTATCTCAATTATAGCAGTCGGGAATCATTCAACTGGTATCAGGCCAAAGTAAGTTTGAGTAAATAAGTTGCATTTTTAACAGCCGGCAGAAGCTCACCACAGTTGGTGCCCAATGTGTCTGGGTGGAGAGACAAGACCCTGGAAGTCTTCAAGCAGAGGCTGGACAGCATCTCTTTGGGATTCTTTGGTTCCAACACTTCTTGCATCCGACAGCAGGATAGACTAAGTGGTCCACAAGGCCTCCACCCCAAACTCAATGATTCTCTGATGTGTCCACACAGGGGCGAAGGAAGGAGAACCGGAACCCGGGGCGGGGTGTCGGGGGCGGGGCGAACTGCTCATCGGCGCATGCACACATGATGTACATATAGCGCATGCGCAAGTGCCGCTACTACCACACAGGGTCCCTGGACGTTTCACCGTCTATTGATCCCTGTGCCACCACTTTATTTCTCGCTGCCACCACCCAGACCCTACCTGGTACAATTCTGAGTCCAGTCAGGGTTAAATTGGAACATAAACTTCAGTTTATTTATTGCAGTTTAACAAGCGTGTGGTTTCATAAACGGTATCGGTCAATTACATTCATGAGGTGCCTATCCAGACCTATAACTTCCGCTACCTGCTCTCACTGACTAAACCACCTCTCAGATATTTACTTGTCTTCCTAGCCCCTAACTGTTCCTGACTCAGCTTATTTCGCTACACTACCTCAACCTACCCACAGACTCTATCCCACTTCATTCCCACTCCAACCAACAACCCAACTCCCAACGAACTCCCCTTTCGCCCCTCCCAGAGCTGGTTTTATAGTCCCTCTGACTCCACCCCCTGGGTCCTGATTGGGTAACCTGTTTAACTATTTCACCTCCAGCACTCTCATATGTTAACGTCACCCCACGCATGTGTGCACGCTGCTACATATCGTGAATGCACGCACACAGTACATACGGTAGTGGGATCCTCTGCTCGCGGCAGCAACGGCGGCAGAGGGATCCCACCGCCATCCATACGGGGCAGGCATGCACGGTATGTAGCGGCGCGGATACCGCCGCTGTCCATATGGCGCATGTGTGCAGCCACGCATGTGCGGTACGTACAGCACACGCACATGCGCCACTGGGCAGTTTGCCGACGGCACCGCTTGAGCACTGTATGGACAGCAGCGGAGGGTGCAGCCGCGAGCGGAGAATCCTTCGCACGCGGCTGTGGCAGTGCGATGGTGGCGGCTTGTGCTGCCGCGCCCGGGGGCGGTGGGATGAGCCCCTTGCAGGGTACCTTCTTGTCACCCCCCCTCAGAGATGGCACCTGGGGTGGACCGCCCTCCCACCCCCTTCCTCCGCCACTGTGTCCACATCAGTCTGACCCTTAAGTTTCCCTCCCCTTATGGTTTTGATCTATGGGCTACTATTAAAACGAGGCTGCATTTTAAATTATATTTTAACCTGTATTTTAAATTGGTTTATTTTTTAATCTTTATTTTTAATTATAATTTTACTGGTGTTAGCTGCCCTGAGCACAGCTCTGGCCAGGGAGGGCAGGGTAGAAATAAAATTATTTATTTATTATTATTATTATTATTATTATTATTATTATTATTATTATTATTAATTATAGAAGCTTCTCTCTTCCTGCCTCTTCAATACATCAGTGTTATGCAGAATGCAATCCCCCTGCGCCAAAGACTGTTGGTTCCATGTTGTAGGAGCTTTGGGACAACATTCCCCCACTTTCCTTTGGGAGGCTGCAAAGAATGACTTTCTGTAGCAGAGAATCCCTGACCTGGCTGGAGCACTAAGCTGTTCATCCCATGGAATTCCACCATCATGTTGCTGTGCTCCTAATTTCCCTACATCGAGGGAGCTTCCCACATAGCCACATGCACTCTCCTGTCCCTCAGATAAATATAGTTTTACAGGACTGTAAGGGTTGCTGTGAGAAACTAAGGTCCCCTGGCCAGAACCCCTCTGACATGATTTTATATCTCCTCGCAGACACAGATAAGTATGTGACCTGGTGTGTAGCACTCTTTGCAATTACAGTGGTGCCTCGCAAGACGAAAAGAATCCGTTCTGGGAGTCTCTTCGTCTAGCGGTTTTTTCGTCTTGCGAAGCAAGCCCATTGATGGGATTAGCGGATTAGCGCTATTAGCGCTATTAGCGGCTTTTAGCGGCTTTTAGCGGCTTTTAGCAGCTTATCAGCTTATCGGATAAGCAGATAAGCGACTTAGCGACTTAGAAAAAGAGGGGGGAAAGGAAAAAAAAAAACCAGGAACTCGCAAGACATTTTCGTCTTGCGAAGCAAGCCCATAGGAGATTCGTTTTGCGAGGCACCTCCAAAACGGAAAACTCTTTCGTCTAGCGAGTTTTCCGTCTTGCGAGGCATTCGTCTTGCGGGGCACCACTGTACCGCTAGGAAAATTAGAGCAAATTATATAGCCAAGATAGCCACCAACTGTAAAGGGGATGAATTTATTTGACCCTATTGACATCAAGCTATATTCTATCTCTATCACCAAACTCCAAATATAATTGCACATGGTGCTAATTAATATTATTTTTTAATATATTAGTGGCCATGTGACAATTTTAGCCTATAAATTTTATTGTTTAATGTCTTAACCTGTATATTAAGGTACTTTTATAGCTCTGTTTACAGTAGGCAATGTCTTGATAATATAGATGTTTTGAGTTTTTTGTATTAATCCAGCATATTTTAATTGTTGAATGATTCTTGTGTACATTGCGGCAGCCTTTGGCTATGTGCAATAAAACTGACTGACTGACTGACTGACTGTGAGAAACATGTATGCAAAGCCCTATGAATAGTCCAAAACACAACATAAATGCAAAGAGATTCTGTACATGTTTATCGTACCTCAAAGGAATAGGCTTTTCCAATCCCGTCGCCAGATCCTGTGATCACTAAATGATGAGACAATAAAGACAGTATGTGATCTTTAGCTGGCTTGTTCTTTCTTGCATTTCAAACACTGCGGTTCCACATGATTTTTTTTTGGCATCCCAGTCTCATTGATGGAGAAATGCTGGGCAATAGCTCCCATCATCTCTGACCATCGGTTTGTCAATTATATAAAATTGTACATCTCCTAAACAACCTATATGCAGGGATTTGTTTGCTTTTTAAGCAGGGTGGAATCTAGACACATATAAAAAATGTTGTGAAAATGCTTTTTTAAAAAAATGTTTTGAAAAATATATTGAATTTGCCATAGCTCACCATCGCCATCTAGTATCACATTTGTATAATGCACTTTACAACACACTTATTTGCAGCCGTATAGCTGAGTCCCATATGGAACTCAGGGGAACCAAGTTCCCTTACCTTTTAAAATTAAACAATTGTTATTTTTGGTCTGGTGGGGCTGTAACGGATATACAGTGGTAACTCGGGTTAAGTACTTAATTTGTTCCGGAGGTCTGTTCTTAACCTGAAGCACCACTTCTTAACCTGAAGCACCACTGAAATTGTTCTTAACCTGAAGCACCACTTTAGCTAATGAGGCCTGCTGCTGCTGCCGTGCTGCCAGAGCACAATTTCTGTTCTCATCCTGAAGCAAAGTTCTTAACCCGAGATAATATTTCTGGGTTAGCGGAGTCTGTAACCTGAAGCATATGTAACCCGAGGTACCACTGTACATACACTCAGTGCCTGAGCCAAAAATCCCCTATATCTGTAATCAATAAAGTTGTAGCCATTTCTAATCTACATCACTGTCTGTGTGTGTGTGTGTGTGGCAGCACTGTGACTGGGCCCACAACAAACAAACAAACAAACAAACAAACAAACATTTTGGTGAGTTCCTCCCTTTTTTTTTCAGAAGAAAAGCGCTGCATATGTATGTGTACAAGCTGCTCAACCCCTCACATGAACAGAAGACATACTTCTAGATATTGGTTCTACTGGAAATGGTTTAGGGCAGCACTATATATTTTGGAGGTCACTATATATTTGGAGGTCCCAGGTCGCAAGGTGGTTAGATTGGTCTCAACTAGGGCCAGGGCCTTTTCAGCACTGGCCCCGACGTGGTGGAACGCTCTGTCACAAGAGACTAGGGCCCTGCGGGACTTGACATCTTTCCGCAGGGCCTGCAAGACAGAGCTGTTCCGCCTGGCCTTTGGTTTGGACTCAGTCTGACCCTTATGTTTCCCTCCCCTTATGGTTTTGGTCTATGGGCTGCTTTTAAATGAGGCTGCATTTTAAATTGCATTTTAACCTGTATTTTAAATTGGTTCCCCCCCCCCCCCCATTATGTTTTTACTGTAATTTTACTGGTGTTAGCCGCCCTGGCTGGGGAGGGTGGGGTATAAATAAATATTATTATTATTATTATTATTATTATTATTAAAATGGTAAGTAGTATGACTAGAAAACTTGTGAGTTTGAAACTAAATTGGGAAACAAACTTTAATTATGATACGTATTGAGAACAGAATGTGGACCAATAGACTAATCAAACTACTTGAGGGAACTCGCTCTCAAAATAAACTGCAGATGGTAGGCCAGTCTCTCTTTCATGTTTTACCTCCAGGCTAGTGCTCCAGATTGCTAGCAGGGATGTGGGTCCTCTCGAACTCACTTCCATTTATATAGCATGTCTACTAGTTAAAGTCTTTGGTTTAAATTAGCAGGCATGTCCAAAGTCCATTTCAGGGGCCTAATCCAGCCCGCCAGTCGACTTAATCCGGCCCCCGTGGCAGTATATGTCCTGGGGTAAAATCCTTTAAAAATCTGAACAACTTTGGGGTAAAACTGTAAAACTCTTTAATCCTAAATTAAATCAACAACTTTGGTCAGCCCTAACGCATGTTCACTTCATCAAATCTGGCCCTCTTTGGAAAAAGCACCCCTGGAAGTTTTTGAAGAAATCTCTAAAATTATTAAGGAACCTATTCAATTCACCCCACAACTGGTACTCCTCTCTTTATTTGAGGAGGGTAATCATGACATAAAAGCAAAATAAAAAAATTTAAAATACTGCTCCTCTTATTCGCAGCAGCAGGTCTCTCAATTGTACAAAAATGGAAAACTTTGTCTAACCTCTGTGTTTCTTCTTGGTTGAAAAATGTTTGGAATATTCCTCTTCTGCAAAATATTCCATGGCACGTGAGAGCTTTGTTGGACGTTTGGAATGTGTGATTCTCATTTCTTCAAAACCCCAAGGACAAAATTATTTATCTGGTGTTTGTTGGCATCCTTGACAAAAGCTGTGCAACATGTCCATGACCTCTTTTCTTTTTGTTCTATTTTGTGTTTTACTTTTGGGGACTCTTTACTTTTTGTTTCTTTGGAAAATCACTGAAAATTATTATTTTTTTAACTACTTTTACTCAGAGTAGATGTATTGAAATTAACAAACACGACTAAGTTAGGTCCATCCATTTCTTTGGAGCTGCTTTGCATAAAGCTTTACAAAGCATCCATTATCTTAGCATCCAAGCCCGTGGGTTTGTTTTTATTTTAAATTATCAGTTTGTAGTCACATCACTGAGCAGGAGATCTCTCTATTCACTCATAAAAAATGATAATGGCCGGAGAACTTAGGTTTGTAAATCGTATTAAGATGATGTGGGCTAGGAAGCTGCCACAGGCAAACCAGTCATTGCCATAGGCAAAAGTAATTCTCATTGCTGTCCTGCCTGTGTCTGTTCCAAAACAAGCTCCACTGAGTTTACTGGATAAATTTGTGTAGGACTGCAGCCTGAATTTATTTGTATTTCAAAAAGATTGAAGTTGCATATTAACGCTTCTCAGTTACATAGCTGCATTTAAAAAAATATTTCAAGGGTGCATGTGTCAATATTATAATATGTTTTTTTGCGTTGAATATATGCTATATGGAAATTTATGGACCTAATAGGTATTTAAAGCCATTTGCACATCACAAAATATGTATTTTATCAAAGTAACTGTTGAGCTAAAATACAATTAAGAAGAAGTACAGTGGTACCTCTGGATGTGAATGGGATCCGTTCCGGAGCCCCGTTCGTATCCTGAAGCGAATGCAACCCACGTCTGCGCGTGTGTGGGTTGCGATTTGCCTCTTCCGCGCATGCGCGTGACATCATTTTGAGCGTCTGCGCATGTGTGAGTGACAAAACCCTTAAGTAACGTGTTCCGTTACTTCTGGGTCGCCGCGGAGCGCAACCCGAAAATGCTCAACCCGAAGCTACTTCAACCCGACATATGACTGTATATTAATAGTGAAAGAATTATTAAGTGATTCTTAAAATGATTGGTGGCCTATTACTTACATCATAGGAGCCTATACAACACAAAACACTGTTGCTGTATGTAGGCTTTATTTTATTTGTTTTTTATTTTATATTTTGGAAATGTACATCCAGTTTTTTTCCTTTAAATTTTTTTGGGGCCCCCAAGAGACAGGGGCCCTAAGCTATAGCTTGTTTAGCTTATACAGTGGCACCTCGTGTTACAAACACCTCGGGTTACAAACACTTCGGGTTACAGACTCCGTTAACCCTGAAGTAGTACCTCGGGTTAAGAACTTTACCTCAGGATGAGAACAGAAATCGCGCGCCAGTAGCGCGGCGGCAGCAGGAGGCCCCACTACCTCAGGTTAAGAACGGTTTCAGGTTAAGAACGGACCTCCGGAACGAATTAAGTTCGTAACCAGAGGTACCACTATATGTAAATCCGGCACACTGCCCATGAACCTTCAAAGATTGCGATCTAGTGTCGTGGTTAAAGGACTGGATTAGGTCCATCTAGATTCCAGTTCAATACTTCCCACTCTGACTGGCATCAACTCTCCAGGATTGCAGACAAGAGTCTTTCCTAGCCCCGTTTGGAGATGCCACAAACTGGGACCTTTTGTGTTGCAAAGCTGGCGTCCACAGAGTTGATCCCCTGCTCCCATCCCAACACATCCGTTCACATTTTCCCAGAAATAAAAATATGAGGAAAAGTTGCTTTACCTGCCCATTCTCCCATTGACCGAAAAAAAGACTCAGGCACAGTCCTCCATACAAGCGGAGAGAAATATTTCAAAAGCCGAACGCATTTCACCAGGAAAACAAGACAAGTGAAGCCCCCGAGGCAAGCGAGGAACTGCTGCAGGAATTCACCCATGATGAACCGATGCTGTGGGCTCAGATAAGATACTGCCACTGTCTCTCTTCTGGTGCACTGCTACTTTTCGCTCTGGTAAAAGGAAGAAGAAGCCTGTGTGAGTCACGTGATTTTTTTTTTACCCATAGAGATCATAGAATAACTTTCTTGGCCCAGATATGTAAACTACCCAAACAAAAACATGAGAGCTAAAACGTTTTGTTTTTTTGCATGGAGAGATGCTCCTTCTCAGGGCACACTGTGGTCAGGGTCAGGCCAGCTGATTTGCAGGATGATGTTGCCTTTGGCTCTCTGTTGTCTGTCGCCAAGATAAAAGATGTTCCGGAACATAAACCCCCTATGGATACAATATGCCTACTCCTAGTTAAGATACTCACATACAGGTACCGAAATCACAGTCGTCTGTTATTCCAGACCTGGAATAAATCTCATTTCCAGCATCTGGGCTTTTCTCTCCGGGTTCCAGTGGTTCTCTCCTAGTTTTGTGGTTGGTCCCTGTGACAGGACCACTTAACCAGCTCTTGAATGAACAGCGCAATTTTGTACACTCTTAGTTGGCTCTGCCCTTGAATCCAGTCTGGAAGCCGAAACTAGTAAACAATGTAGCAGCCAGATTTCTCACAGGAGCAGGTCATTGGCAAGATGTTATTCTCCTGTTGAGAGAGCTACAATGGCAACCAATCTGCTATCAGGCCAGGGGCCTGTGTTAATTCACAATGACTTAAATAACTTGCACCCAAGGTTATTTAAGAACCACCTCATTCCTTACATTCTGTCTCAGTCACTGAAGTCTTCTGATGGGGGACTGTTTGTGGTCTCACATGCCCCTGAAGTCTGGCTGGCCTTCACTTCACTTCACTTCACTTCACTTCACTTCACTTCACTGCCTGGTGGAGGGGCTGAACCCCTAGTATGGCAGGCTGTGTCTTGTGGTACTCCTTGCTAATAGTAGTTCAGCAAGAGTCATACCTTTCTCTTTTTACATGTCTTCTAAAAACTATATTTATTAGGCAGGCTTTCTGAATCTCTGTTTCTTTGCCAACCCTCTCTCACTGATGTCTTTGATTTTTATTTTGTAATAGGGTGCTTTTAGCCTTATAGGAAAGTGCAGTGCATAAAATTTTAAAATAAACTCAAATGTAAATCTCACTGATTTCAGTGGGGCTAATTCTCAGCCATTTTGCTGTCGTTTAACTGTGTGATGGTTTGTTTTGCCTTTAGGCAAAAAAGTGGTCTAAACCACTGAGCCTCTTGGGCTTGCTGATCAGAAGGTTGGTGGTTCGAAAGCATGTCAGTGCAAGTAGATAAATAGGTACCACTGCAGTGGGAAGGTAAACGGCGTTTCCGTGCGCTCTAGCTTCCATTATGCTGTCCCACTGCGCCAGAAGTGGTTTAGTCATGCTGGCCACATGACCTGGAAAGCTGTCTGTGGACAAACACTGGCTCCCTTGGCCTGAAAGCAAGATGAGTGCCACAGCCCACAGTCGCCTTTGACTGGACTTTAGCTTTAGCTTTGCCTTTGCCTTTAGGACAAAGGACTCATTACATGAAGGCACAAGGATTCATCATTAACCCTGGTGGCTGAGACCATCCAGGATCCAGAATGACCATCACAAGCCAGTTATTATGCAACCCCCTGAGGCTCCCATATGGACCTCCTGCCGGCATTAGAAACAGCAGAACAGCAACCAGTTCCTTGAGAAAGAAAAGCTATAGCATCGAGCAGAGGCTGGAGGCACAAGACACTTTCTTTGACCATTGCCGACTGCTGGAAAAACCTGCTTTATCTCAAGGTACCTTGAAAGCATGTGCATAATGTGGGCTGAATCGTGCATGTTTTTAGTGCTTACTACCCCCAATCACCTGCTTGAGGGTGTGTGTGTGTGGGAAATGGTAACTGAATCTAACACTCTATGCTAGAGCTTTCCAAACTGTGTGTTGTGACACACAAGTGTGTTGGCCGCAGGGTGTAGGTGTGTTGCGTGAATGCTCCCCACGCTCTTCCCGGGGCTGGAAAGGGGTTAGTTTAACCTCTGGTTTGTCAGTAAAACTGAATTGTTGTGTTGCGAAATGATGCATGTCTGCAAAGTGTGTCGCCAACATGAAAAGTTTAGAAAGCTCTGCTCTACGATCTACTCCCATACCCTGATCAGCAGTGCTAGGCATTGTCAGTTGCAGCCCAAGCTCCCGAATCAAGTGTTCAACCTAGGGAATCTCAAGTGCAAAGCTCCATTTCCCCCTCTTACTAGGTCAGGGTAAATAGATTTTGGGGGTAAGTCAGTTTTGATGAGATTGGCACGGGGTTAAGAGTCAAGCTTCCTCTCACTGCATTGCAGCCCCAATCCAATTCCATACTTTTCTTTGGGTGCTCATGAGGTGCAGTGAGGCTGTTATCTCAGGCGGGAATCTGGAAAGGTGTTGATTAAAAATGAGACTGCTCATGGTAGACTTAGGATCATAGAACAGAGTTGGACCACAAGGGTCATTTAGTCCAACTCCTGAACCTGCCTGAAGACTCATAAAAACACAAGGGAAAAGGGACAAGGAGGGGAGAGGCCAGGGCAGGGATCAAACTCAGGTACAGTGGTACCTCGGGTTACATACGCTTCAGGTTACATACGCTTCAGGTTACACACTCCGCAGCTCTCCTGCAGCAGCAGGAGGCCCCATTAGCTAAAGTGGTGCTTCAGGTTAAGAACAGTTTCAGGTTAAGAATGGAACGAATTAAGTACTTAACCTGAGGTACCACTGTACCAGCTTTTAAACAGTTATTCTTATAATGAACAGTTGGAATTAGGAGGTACCTACGTAATTTCTTCTGCTGAGGCAGACAAATGATATCTTATTATTGTCAACATATGCATTCTTATGTATACAGTGGTACCTCGGGTTACATACGCTTCAGGTTACATACACTTCAGGTTACAGACTCTGCTAAGCCAGAAATAGTGCTTCAGGTTAAGAACTTTGCTTCAGGGTGAGAACAGAAATCGTGCTCCGGCGGCGCAGCAGGAGGCCCCATTAGCTAAAGTGGTGCTTCAGGTTAAGAACAGTTTCAGGTTAAGAATGGAACGAATTAAGTACTTAACCTGAGGTACCACTGTACTTTACCCTATTATGGCTGGAGAACCGTATTGCAAAATTCAGAGAGGATCACATTTCAAAGGACGGCTGTGTTTTGCTTCCGCAAAAATGCAGATTTGCATAGCTGTCAACGTTTCCCTTTTTTAAAGGGAAATTCCCTTATTCTGAATAGGATTCCTCGCAAGAAAAGGGAAAAGTTGACAGCTATGGATTTGGTTGGTCTGCCTTTAAATGTGAACTGAATCGAATTTACCCCCCAATGCTACTTGATCTGCTTAGTAAAATCCAGCAGCAATTTTTCACTCACCCAGGGTTGTGCTTCCACTGGGAAATCAAGGCACAATGGAGTCTGCAGATATGGTTTATTCACACATACAGTACCTGTGATTCTATGATATACACCTGAGTTTATGGAGAGTTCTGCCCACTTCCTGCTCCTTCCTGTGTTGTAAAAAGGCACCCTCTCTTCCCGTGGTGACATCGTGGCCCCTGTTACCCTGGCAGCTTCTCCCTCTGTGTCTGCCAGAACCTTCGACCTGGTTGAGGACTTCCATCGAGCGGCTGGCTATCAGCGCCATCATTTTGACCCACCGTCACCAGGATGGCCTCATGAGGAGGTTAGCTGGCGTTGCTCTCAGCCAAGTCCAGGAATCTGTGAGTTTGCTCAAATGCTGACCCTCCCCGAAGGCAGAAGGCATTATGGGGAGTCTGACTGGCCTGCCAAATTAATAACAATACGAAATGTAGCTTGACTTACATGCCACTTACTCAGCAATGGGCCACAGTACACAGTGCACTTGCTAGCAGCTCAGAGGAAGCCACCTGTGAACAAACTCTCACCCGTCACATTCCCTCACCCTGCCTTTCTTCAGTTGGAGGCAAAAGGTGCCAGGGAAACCTGTGACACCCATATCTGATAAGCAGCAGCCTATCATGTAAGAGGAGGGGAACATTTAATCACATTGAAGTTTAACTTTTATAGGCTAAGGTTCAAAGGGTGGTGCATTTTATGCATCTATCAGGAATGTGGAAATGAGAGGAATTTGAAAGTGCCCTTCTCAAACAAAATTGCCCCTTGCTTCCTCCATAGACTTATTTTGAAACAGAGGGAGAGTTCTTTTAAAGGGTGCAAAATGTGTCTGGGCCTTTGGCCTGCCTAACTAGATTCTAGCTCATGGGTAGGCAAACTAAGGCCCAGGGGCTGGATCCGTCCCAATCGCCTTCTCAATCCGGCCTGCGGACGGTTCGGGAATCAGCATGTTTTTACACGATTAGAACGTGTGCTTTTAATTAAAATGCATCTCTGGGTTGTTTGTGGGGCAAAGGAATTCATTCACCCTCCCCCATATAGTCCGGCCCCCCACAAGGTCTGAGGGACAGTGGACCGGCCCCCTGCTGAAAAAGTTTGCTGACCCCTGTTCTAGTCATAGGCTTTATCCACAATAACTGTTTCAAGCTCACACTCAGCAACACCCCAAGAATTCTGGGAAATGTAGTCTGTTAAGGGTGCTGGGAATGGTAGCTCCATGAGGGGGGTAAACTACAGTTCCCAGGATTCTTTGGGGGGGGTACTTTAAATGTGCTTGAGAGGTATGGTGTTCACAGCCATAGACCGTATTTGAAATACCACATGCTGCTAATACTTTCAGAAAATAAACCCTCCCACAGGGAGAACGGGTAGTATAAAAGACCTTTGACCTGTGAAAGTTGGGCTCAGGTGATGAAACAGTGTCAGGGTACCACTTTAGATTGGAGGTGCGAAGAGTCCCATACGTTGGTGCTGACCTTTAAAGCCCTAAAAGGCTTTTTTAATTATTATTATTTAAAATGTGTCCACAAGCCCAGAAAGGTTGGTGGTATCTGCCTTAAGTGAATTCAACTTTCCTTTTTACATTATAATCCTGCATTTAATATATTCTTCTTCTTTTTAGATGCCAGGCTTTTCGAAGCTGGTGGGTTAAGTAATTTTAATGATGTTGTTACTTATGGAATTTATGAAAATTATTAATGTTTCTGTTTATTGTGTACAGTACTATCTATTACCCTAGATTTGTAAACCACCCTGTGACCATTTTTGGTGAGATATAGATTCCCCAATAAATAAAGATGCCATAGCTCTTTAGAAATTGTATGGATTTTGAATTATTGATCTCAGCAGTTGATTGGTCACATGGAACTTTAGGTCAGACATACAAAATATTAACAGAATTGCTATCAAGCAAGATGGCAAGCAGATTTGTCTATTCAAATACTGACAGACAAATGGTATTTGATTTGGTAACTCTTAAAGGAACGTTCTGTACGGATTTGACAGGATGGTACCTGACTCCTGCCAGGTTGAGTAAAATATTTTTGAGGGCCAGTGACCCATGATGGAGATGTGGAACTTCTGATGTAAACATGTTTCACGTCATGTGGGCATACTGAGCAATCAGATTTTGGGAATTTGTGCCGACAGAAATAACAAGCATCCTGGGCTATCATTTTCCAAAAGATCCTGTTGTAATTATAATTGGACAGAGTAAGGATATTAAAGCAGAAGAGGATTGGCAAATGACTTTCAGCTATTAATAGCGGCCAAAACAGTCATCTGTCAGAGACAGAAAACTCCCATATCATTATCTCTAGGTGCCTCGGGAGCTAAAGTTTGGGAAGGTGCTTACATGATGAAATTTGCTAACTTCTAGGAAAGGGCAGACAAGGCAGTTGGAAAGGGGAGACAAAAAGACAGCGAATTCATTGCAAAAAGGATTTTATTTATTTTTAATTAAGTACAAGATAAAAGAATTCCCATTTTTTTATTTTGAGACATATAAAAGGTCGTAGTACAATTTGTAAAATATAGGCAACTTCGTTCTTATAAGAGTGGTCTATAAATTTTGAGGACAAACCTAGACAGCATCTTAAAAAGTAGAGACATCACCTTGCCAACAAAGGTCCGTATAGTTAAAGCTATGGTTTTCCCAGTAGTGATGTATGGAAGTGAGAGCTGGACGCCTGAGAGCTGGAAGGCTGATCGCCAAAGAATTGATGCTTTTGAATTATGGTGCTGGAGGAGACTCTTGAGAGTCCCATAGACTGCAAGAAGAACAAACCTATCCATTCTTAAGGAAATCAGCCCTGAGTACTCACTGGAAGGACAGATCATGAAGCTGAGGCTCCAATACTTTGGCCACCTCATGAGAAGAGAAGACTCCCTGGAAAAGACCCTGATGTTGGGAAAGATGGAGGCCACAAGGAGAAGGGGACGACAGAGGGTGAGATGGTTGGACAGTGTTCTTGAAGCTACCAGCATGAGTTTGACCAAACTGCGGGAGGCAGTGGAAGACAGGAGTGCCTGGCGTGCTATGGTCCATGGGGTCGCGAAGAGTCGGACACGACTAAACGACTAAACAACAACATAAATTTTAAGTAACAGAAACATCAACGTAACAACCCTTTTCTTGAGGTTTTCTGTACCAGTGCACCATATTCTCTACAAACTAAGATGAAGTATTTGGTTGCTTCCATAAATTTATATGTGTATACAATCATTCTATCTATGGATTTATTTGTAATTATTTTGCAAAAATTTAAAGGAAAAGAACCCAAAATAATAATAGTGTCCAGGATCTTTCACACTATACTTGTCCTGACTAATGTAAGATTGCTCCCCAGTTAATACTGGGGCTCTTTTCATCAGATCATTCTGAATATGGCATCTCTGTTGAACATGCAGAGTCGTGGAAGTGTACTCAGCTTTTAACAAGTTTTGACGCATTGGGCAGGGAGGAAGCAGCTGCGGTCTTCAAAAGTTGTTGGGCTAGACCTGTCATCACCCCTGACCATTGGACATGTTCCCTAAAGCTGACGGGAATTGGAAAATAATATATACAGAATGCCACAGGCGCCTCAGCCCTAACTTTAAGGATCACCCAATCAGGCTGGGAGAAAACAAACAAGTCTCCACACTGATGTTTTAGAACAGGCATCGGCAAACTCGGCCCTCCAGATGTTTTGATACTACAATTCCCATCGTCCCTGACCACTGGTCCTGTTTGCTAGGGATGATGGGAGTTGTAGTCCCAAAACATCTGGAGGACCGAGTTTGCCTATGCCTGTTTTAGAACCTGGCCCGGATAGAAAAATCTAAAGCACGAGCTGGGTCAAAGTGAAGCTGTAGCTTTGCCCAAGTGGATTTTTCTGAACCACAAAAGAAACATGGTCTGGGTGTTTGTTTCCTATTCCTGATATCTCCTGCCCTGCACAGAGTTCCAGAAACCAGCTCTGATCTGTGATGGAACATTGATGGTCTCCTACATGCCCAGATGCTCCTCACCTAGCATGGGTGAATCAAACCCAGAAATGACCAGACCAACAGCCATTTAAGCCTGGAGAAGCTACAGGCCAGCTCTGCCCCTTCCATTGCAAGGTTGTGAATGTTCTGCCTACATGTTTATGCTCTTTGGCTATTCATTGCTTTTTCTCAAGTGATCCAGCAGCAAAAGGGAAAACTACCTATCTGTGACTGTACAGCAAATGATTATGGAAATAGGTTTGGATATCGCTGAAGAAAATAGTTTTATGGAGAGAATTAAATGACTAATAAAAATGAACTCTCGTACTCAAGTATACTGGCTTGGGTCAAAAGATGCCATTGCCTAAGAGGAAATGAATAAAGGGGCTTCCTGATGTTGTCTATTTCCCAACTCCCACTGAAGTCGGCACCAAATTCTATGACATTCCATATGGTCCCTGTGGCGTTTGCCTCCTAGGATGGGTCATAAGGAAAGGGTTAAAATAGGTGTGATGTGATTGGCCAGTGAGAATGCAAGGGGGGAATAAAAGTTAGAGTGGGAGGTTTTGAAAGTCAGTTGAGAGTTGAGTTCAGTTGAGTTGAGGTTTGGGAGTTGAAGAAGGAAGAGGGAGGTTTAGGTGTGGGTTGGTAAAGTTGTATTGTGAGAGAGTGAGAGGAATTGTTATGTGGAGTCAGATAGATAGTTGGGAATAATCAGTTTGGAGTTGTAGGAACTAAGAATAAGAAACTGACAAGAGAAAAATTAACTGAAACCATAAGCTTGTTCCTGCATTTAAAAATAAACTTGATCATTTGTTTATGTTAACAACTGACTGGACTCCGTGTGTCCCCGTGAGATACAGGGTGGTGGCAGCGGAAAAAACAATCGCAGTGGCAGCACAGGGTCAATAGACCGTCAAACGTCCGGGGGCCCTGTGTGTGTGATCGCCACAGTCCCCTAACCAGAGAGGCTCTTCAGTGGGTCCAAGAGGGTGTAGCAGACAGGTGGGAAGCAGGGAAGGGATCCCATATCACTCATATCTCCACTGGGAGAATCACACAAGGAGTGTTGGGGCAATAAGAGAGAAATCCTCAATGCAAACATATTGAACACTTAAGCCTGTCCTTCAGGCACAGCAGTTTTGGGGCACCAGATCTGCTCGTTCCGAGTGTGCAAGCCTCACACAGTTCACTGCACCAGGTAGCGACAATGGAACCATACATGCCCCCAAACCTGAAAGGGATGCTCATGGCACCATCGTAGGTTATGCAATCAGCAAAGGACATTTCTTTCCTTTATTTGACAGTAGCATCATAGAACTGAGTGGAGCCAAAGGGCATATACTCCAACCACTTTTCATGAGACAGGATATTTTGTATGCAAGAAACAGTTGAGAGAGTTGGGCATGTTTAGCCTGGAAAAGAGGAGACTGAGAGGAGATATGGTAGCCATCTTCAAGCATCTAAAGGGCTCTCACATGGAAGATGGGGCAAGCTTGCTTTCTCTTGCTCCGGAGGCTAGGACCCAAACCAATGCCTTCAAGTTACAAGGAAGGAGATTGCAACTAAATATCAGGAAGAACTTTCTGGCAGTAAGAGCTGTTTGAAAGTGGAACAAACTTCACTGAGAGGTGGTGGACTCTCCTTCCTTGAAGATTTTTAAGCAGAGGTTGGATGGCCAGCTGTCATGGGTGCTTAGTTTATAAACCTGCATTGAAGGATCCCTTCAAACTCTATGATTCTATGATACTTCAGTATTGACTATTTTGACTGTCAGCAGTTTCTTCAGGGCCTCCCAGCCCTCTTACATTCATTTTGTTTTCTTTTTTAGATGAGTGAAACATCCTTCATACAGACCACATACTCTGCCACAAAGCTGCAGGTCCCATTTTATGTATTGTAACATGTGTGAAATGTGGAATTGGTTACATGAATGATATATAACTGATACAGTAAATTGAATTTTAAAAATTTCTTCTTAGATTTTTCCTTTCATATTCATTGATATATAGCATAACGTAAATATAATTCCTTTTCTTTATTATTATTATTATTATTATTATTATTATTATTATAGAAAAGCCATAGAGGGAATTGACAGTTTAATTACAGATATGAACAAGTTATAAACAGAACAGATACTATTTTCATGACTTACAAGAAGGTATCCACTTACAAGATAGTTGAGTGCTTTCATATTTAGGGATATTTCCATCTCAAGATTTATGTCTGACTATCATCAATCACCACATAATTATCTCCTTTGGCAACCTGCCGACAAAATACATTCAATCCGCCGTGTTCCTCTCCCTGAATTTCTGGATATTTCCATTTTTCTAGAACAGGCATAGGCAAACTCGGCCCTCCAGATGTTTGGGGAGTACAACTCCCATCATCCCTGAGCACTGGTCCTGTTAGCTAGGGATGATGTGAGCTGTAGTCCCAAAACATCTGGAGGGCCGAGTTTACCTATGCCTGCTCTAGAACATATGTGCCACAATATTCATGTACTTAATCAGAAGTACTTACAGCATCTTCTTTCAATGCATTGGCACTGTGCAGACTGGCTAGCAAAAGATACCCAAAACCTGATTGTCTCAGATATATTAATGAAAACCATTCTAGTACCTCTTGCTTCCTTAAACTGCAACCTATTCAAAGCTCCCAATTTAGGGTTTTCATGAGTGGGGAAAGGCAGGTAAATGAAATAGTAAGAACATTTCCCCAAAATTTCTCCAAATGGTAAAGGAATATTAGAATCTCCTCTCTACTTGTGTCATTTGCTGGCGGTGTTCTGGTCAGAATCCTGAGGGTCAGACAGAGACCTGGAGGGGCCACATTTGACTCCACTTGGCCTGAGGATCCCAGCTCCTGCCAGGGAGATTTAAGCAAAAGCCAAGTGATTTGAACTGAGGTATTAAGCAGCCAATTCAGGTTCTGCAAACGGCAAGCAGCCAACCTCCGTACCTGTGTTATTATTTTATGCCACTAGCTATGAACGTTCTGTACCTCTGTCTCCCATCTAAAATGTTCCTGTTCTAAAGGTGAAAAGTGTCTGAGAAAGGAATTTTAAGGAACTTTGCCCTGCACTGCAGCTTGCCTAATACTTCAACCTCCATTGGCTTTCTCCCAATTAACCCAATTAGCCCAATTAACCTGGAACAGCCCGACCAGGGCAGCATAGCAAGAGATGATGGAGTCAGGTTTGGATCTGGCTGAAGACAATTGTCCCACTGGGAGAATTCAACAAACAGAACCAGCACAGTAAGAAGGAAAGCCCTTAATAAAAACACTCTGGCTTGGACCCAAAGCTTGTGTTGTGCCATTCTAGAGGGTTCCTTGACCTTCATGGGCTGCCAGAGGCTCAGCTGGAAGCGGGAGAGGGAAAACCCCAATTCCATGAGCAGAACTCCATTCAGAGAAGTTAGGGTCCATGCCAGTGAACACCAACCTGCTGTTCATCCTTAAGGCACAGAATGTATTTGGTATCGGATGTGCCCATGCCCTGCATGGCATATTTGGCATCCAGTAAGATCATTCAGTGCAATCAATCCCCAGACCGCCCAATGTATCTGGAGTTTGCAGATCATACTGGAGACCTATGCTCCCACAAAACTGCTGGGGCACATTCACAAGATCACATTAATCTCTGCAATCGAATGGCTAGTTTCTGGATAGCACTGGAGTTGCCTTTGCAAATGACATATTTCTTGCCCTTTCGTCTCCAGCATCCTAGAGCTGGGGGGAACCAAGGGGACATCTAAGTCCAGGGGTCAGCAAACTTTTTCAACAGGGGGCCGGTCCACTGTCCCTCAGACCTTGTGGGGGGCCGGACTATGTTTTGAAAAAAATAATGAACAAATTCCTATGCCCCACAAATAACCCAGAGATGCATTTTAAATAAAAGGACACATTCTACTCATGTAAAAACACACTGATTCCCAGACTGTACACGGGCTGGATTTAGAAGGCGATTAGGCCGGATCTGGCCCCTGGCCTTAGTTTGCCTACCCATGTCTAAGTCCATCCTCCAACCAGTACAAAGCAGCCCAGATCTCTAAAGCTCTGAACTGAGGCAGCTAAGATGTGGGCATGACAGATGTGTGCGGTCAAGTTCCTAACTGAAGTCCACACATGTGTGGCTGTTAGCACAACAACATTTTGCAGTCTGTATCTTCTGGTCAATCCTTTTCAAAAATTTAAGCAAGGAGTCTACCCACGGCTACAGGCAGTCTGGGAGAAAAGGCGATTCAACACCCTCGACAGAATAAACCCCTGGATTTGACCCAGTGCAAAGATTTCCCATGGAAGGAGCAAATTCCCAAACCCTGCCACCCATCCATCTATTGTAATTAGTCTTGCTACATAAATAATGATCAAACATGCCTGCGGCTGACTGTTTCCAAGATCATGCCTTGTCTCACAAGGATGCCCTGGACCGCAACGCGAGATGAGGCAGAACGTCCACTTCTCAGCTGCTTCTGCGTTGAACTTCCACAGGATCCTGCATCCTCCCAGATTCTCTCTCCTTTTGTTTCTGCTAGCTCTTGGCACCTGGCAATGCTTTTTCTTCATCTGTGGAGATCTTAGGACTGTCGTTTCCCCGTATGGTTAGAAACGAGTATCTCAGACCTCCTGCCATGCTGAAGGGGGAAAGCAGAGAACACACACACACGGTCAGAAAGCCATGTCTCCTGTCCGCCGTGTGAACTGGACATGCAATTCAAAACCCCCACTCACCAGATATTGAGCCCTATGAAGTTCAGCACGGAAAAGATATAGTCTCCACCAATTAGCATTCCAATGTAAGCAATGGACACATTCTGAAAAAATAAAGAGGCATGCTTTAACTTATTAACCAGCGAAGGCGGTGAAGGTCCTGTGTGAGTGTCTGGAGGCGGTTGGAGGATGGATGGCAGCTAATGGATTGAGGTTGAATCCTGACAAGCCAGAAGTACTGTTCTTGGGGGACAGGGGGCTGGCTGGTGTGGAGGACTCCCTGGTTCTGAATGGGGTAACTGTGCCCTGAAGGACCAGGTGCGCAGCCTGGGAGTCATTTTGGACTCACAGCTGTCCATGGAGGCGCAGGTCAGTTCTGTGTCCAGGGCAGCGGTTTACCAGCTCCATCTGGTACACAGGCTGAGACCCTATCTACTCACAGACTGTCTCACCAGTGTGGTGGATGCTCTAGTTATCTCTCGCTTGGACTGCTGAAATGTGCTCTATGTGGGACTACCTATGAAGGTGACTCGGAACTGCAATTAATCCAGAATGCGGCAGCTAGACTGGTGACTGGGAGTGGCCACCAAGACCATATAACACCGGTCCTGAAAGATCTTCATTGGCTCCCAATATGTTTCCAAGCACAATTCAAAGGGTTGGTGCTGACGTTTAAAGCCCCAAACGGCCTCAGTCCTGTATACCTGAAGGAGCGTCTCCACCCCCATCATCCAGCCCGGACACTGAGGTCCAGCGCCGAGGGCCTTCTGGTGGTTCCCTCACTGCGAGAAGTGAGTTTACAGGGAACCAGGTAGAGAGCCTTCTCGGTAGTGGCGCCCACCCTGTGGAACACCCTCCCACCAGATGTCAAAGAGATAAACAACTATTTTACTTTTAAAAGACAACTGTTTGAGGAAAGTTTTTAATGTCTGATGCTGTATTGTTTTTAATATTCGGTTGGAAGCCGCCCAAAGTGGCTGGGGAAACCCAGCCGGATGGGCGGGGTATAAATAAATTATTATTATAATTATTATATTCTCCTAGTATCACTGTGCTGTAAGGCATACTTGTTCCCAAGAATTACAAGCACTTAAGAAAATATTCTGATCTAATGTTGATGAATTGAAACTAACATGTACTTTTGGGTTGTCAGTAATGGCCACTACAGTGGTACCTCAGGTTACATACGCTTCAGGTTACAGACGCCGCTAACCCAGGAATAGTGCTTCAGGTTAAGAACTTTGCTTCAGGATGAGAACAGAAATTGTGCTACGGCGGCACGGCGGCAGCGGGAGGCCCCATTAGCTAAAGTGGTGCTTCAGATTAAGAACAGTTTCAGGTTAAGAACAGACCTCCGGAACGAATTAAGTACTTAACCCGAGGTACCACTGTATGTCTCAATAAAACTTCGAAATAATAATAATATGTGGGATCCATGGCAGGAGAATAAAAAGATTCCCCAATGCTGTTCTGTTTTTTAATGCACACAGCAATCTCCCTTCATTTGAAACATTGTGTTCCCCTCCTGGGGAAACAAGAGATATTTGTTCAGTGCGTAACATCTCATCAGGCTATGAACTGCACAAACTGCAGATAAGAAGTATTTGGCCTTCAAGATGGCACTGTCCACATCCTTTAGAATCCTAGGAATGTCCACAGTATTTATAACCCCCCAGTTCTCATGATAAAGTTTTTTTTTTAAGGGCAATTAATGAATACGTCTTTGTTCACCTCTCAGGGTTTGCTTTTCTTCCCCAAAATAAATAAACCTTTATCATATTTCTAAATTTTGATTTTCAAAAATAACAATACCAAAAATAGAAGAGAGGCGAAGAAAGCAAAAATGGTAAGAACTGCCGCAGTACAATGTCAATAGAGCATAGCATCACATAGTACGGATAAGCACAGACATTAGGATTAAGAGTCCTAATATGGTTTCCCCTTCAGCAATCATGTCTGGAGAAATCCTATGGAATCTTCAGCAGTAATTCCACTCCCTTCCAATTTATTCCCTGTATAAGGTTACTCAGACCAGACCTAGCCTTCATACGTCTTGTATTTCTCCTATTGTATAGAAACAGGACCTCTTAGGTGTTTGTTTTACTGATTCAAGATGCCTGTTTGCCTATCATGATAATATAGGCTGAGGAACGATTTGTCTCTGCCATTTTACGAGCTAACCAAAATAAAATTCACGCGCCCACAAAAAGAATCATCTGTGGCGTTTCCTGCCGAATCCATTTCTCTTTAGCAAATGCACCGTCCTTCAAACAAATTAAGTTTCCCTATCGGAAGACGAAAATGAAATCTGAATGGATTCCATAGCTAGTTCTGATGCTGTCACTCATCAACAGGTCCTGTTGGTTTCGCTTACCTTTATAGCACCAACCACTGTGGTTGTGAGGGCAGAATTATAATGGCTGCAGAGGACTGTAGAATACATCAGAAGGAACCTAAAGTAAAAAAAAAAAAAAAAGTATCTTGATCCTGTGCACCTTTTCCCAGAAGCAAGCATGCACAGGATTGCAAACTTATGATACCATCATTTCACTGCTCCTCTTAAACAGGGCTGTATATATTTTTAACTCCTCCAGCGTGATCTAAAAGAAGTTGAGCTGGGAGACTTATGTATAAGATGATTAAATAAAAACCTGTGCTTTTGTGGACTTCACCACCCATCTTTGACTATACAATTTTCACATCGTTCCATGTGGGCCAGAGTGGATAAAAATAAATGATTTAAAAAATAATAATTTTTAAAAATCTGACTTCTTTTATTTAAATCCAATTTTTTAAAAATTAAAATCCGATATATATATATATATATATATATATGTGTGTGTGATTTTCAAAATAAAATGCTTTTGGAGGAAAAATCTTACTAAAGATAGTTTTCTATTTAAGTTACATTATGGTCCAAAGGCTATTCATCAGGAAATAAGGGTTTGTTTTAAGCTTTTCATGTGCGCCAAAACTCAGTCTAAGTTTTCTTTTGTAAAAAACTGTTTAACTACATCAGTTAACAAACATGGATACATAATGCTATAATGTTTTCGTTTTAGTTAAATAAATTGTTTGAATTGTTCTTATTTTCCTCCTTCCAATAAAGTACAGCAGAAAAGTTGTACAAATATAAATAGGTAACTTATTAAACCTCACAGTAATTTAATAATGATCTGTCTATGTATTTCTAATAGTATAACCAAATCAGTAATTTTTGATATAATTGTAAAAACTACTCTGAAAATTTATTATGCCAAAAATGAAACCTTCATCTGGTTGTAAATATTAAGATTATACCAGCAAGAATGGGTCTTTCTGTAAAAAAAAATGATGTAAATCAAGCCTTAGTGACTAGTGATTTTGTGATTTAAATCAATTTGATTTAAATCAAATCCACCCTGATGTGGGCTATCCAAAACTGCCACACGACTTGCTGTCAGGGACTGGACTGAAGGGGACGAGATTGAGGAGGAATGGTGGAGATGCCCACTCCCCTTCTCCGGAAGCTTCCAGAGAATTGGAAGGCAGTACAGTCACACTTTGGTTCTGGAACACCTTGCGACTCGAACGTTTTGGATCCTGAACGACTCAAACCCGGAAGTGAGTGTTCTATTTGCAAAGGTTTTTTGGAAACCAAATGTCTGACGCGGCTTCCGATTGAGTGTGAGAAGCTCCTGCAGCCAATTGGAAGTCACGCCTCAGTTTTCGAACTTTTTCGGAAGTCGAACGGGCTTCTGGAACGGATTCCATTCGAGAACCAAGGTACGACTGCATTGAATTAAAAGCGGCGGTTTGAGGAAGGTCACAGCTCAGAGAGAGGTGAACAGAAGAGTTGGGAGGTGTTGGGAGAAGAGGAAGGGGAGACAGAGTCAGAGCAGCCTGCTGACATGTTATAACTGGAGAGTATTTCTGACCCCTCTTCTCCCAGAACCCGGCACCCATTGAGAGTACAAGAGCAAAGGACTCAAGAGACAATTAGTCCCTGTCGGCCACCATAAGGGAAAGTGCTGTTGCTAGGAAAGGACAGGGAACGAGCTCAGTTGGAGCAATGCCATTAATGGGAGACAGACTGCATTCTTTTGTCTCGTTGTGATGATTGAATAAACTCATTAGTCAGAACTCTTCTTTGTTTTCTTTGCTTCTTGCTGCCACTGGGGGAGGGATAGAATTTCCAGAAGCCTGACAATTTCTCTCTCAGAGACAAATGAAATGAGGGCCACTGCATCATATAATCACAGAGTCATAAAACTGTTGAGTTGGAAGGGACCCCAAGATCATCTAGTCCCATGTAGGAGTCACAGCTAAAGGATCCCTGATAGATAACCACCCAACCTCCAACGAAGAGTCCACCGCCTTCACAACCTTCCTTGTGCTTCAGAGTACATGGTTCTGAATTTCCTGGCAAATAAACTGGGGCGTTGCCCTAAAGATGGGGAATTAAAACCCTATTTGAACCAGTCGGGTTTCTTCATCTTCCTAGGGTTTTGCTGTAGTTATTAGCTGTAATCCCAACCTGCTGACTATATAAAGGTCAATAGCAGATTTGCCGGATGAAAAAACAAAAACAAAAACAAAAAACCCAGCCAGCGATTACTTGTCAAAGACACCTTACCCCAGTACACAGGAAAGAAGAAATTGAAAGATAAATAAAACATTTGTCCACTCCTTGAAGTTGGTGGCCTATAAAAATAAAGAAGGACATGTTTTAGGTATGTTTTATGGAAAATAGATATTCTAATAACCCAGTTAAATAAAGAGAAAGATGACAAGGTTGATATATCTGATGCTTGAGAATTGCACCAAGATGTCTGCTCTAAATTTAACTGCCAGCATTTTTTGAATCATCTTGCAATCAAGATGGATCTAAAGACCTATTCCTTACGACCCCCACAAAAGGTTAGATATGTGCTGTTTTCATGTCAGTTTCAAACCCAGACATGCATTTAGAATGTGCAGAGAAGATAAAATAAAGGAAATTTAAGTTGTGCCCCATGTTTACTTGCGATCTCTCTAATTTCTCAAACCTGTTGCACCAAGTTTGCATAATGAGGACTTGTTTGCTGTTGGCCGCTCTGCAGTTGGGGAACTCCCTCCTCTTGTAAATTTGGATCAATTCTTTCCATTTACATTTGGCTTTAATGGCCATTTTCAGGAAGACTTTGATTCTGCAAGATTCAAAGGATTAACCCCTTCTTCTTTCAAAAAGTGTTGCTACGCAACCCCTGAAACCATCTGCATAAAATATTTCCCTATTTAAAACACACTTGTTCTCGATTGGGCAGAAAGACTGCTAATTTACATTTTTTGTTGCCAATTGTTATTTGCAATCATGCTTCTAATTTCCAGTGGTTATAGTCTCCCTTCATTGTCAGAATTATGCCTGCCTTGATGAATTTTAGGGAACCGTTCCATAATGCTGACCCTGGGCTTTGTTGACCAGCTGCACATGGTCACCGGAAACCCTCTCTCCCTGAATTTTTTTACTCAAAACTTTCCTAAGTTATCTTCTTTCCATGAGCTGAAGAGAAACTCCTACCATTCTGAGAACAGAAATGAGGATCCAAGACAATGGATGTATTACAATGACTTAAGTGGTTTGCAAGCACAGCTTACCTGTTGGAAGTCTCCACTGAAGAAGCTTATGAGAACTGTAGGAATTACCATAAAACAGGCATTATAAAAAATGACTCCATATTTTCCCAGCTCCTGTATAAAACAGACACACCTGTTTGACAAGCTAGTTAAAGATCACAATAGCCACGGGAGAATTTTGTATTTAAAGATCTAACGGCACTCTAGCAAGAAAGCAATTCATCCATTTAATATATGCTTGCAGTTTCTGTAATATATGCTTCTGTAAGAAGAGGTTTCTTCCTAAATAATCAACTCAGTGAAGTCCTACCTATGAAATGCTTGTGTAGGCCTGGTTAAAACTGACCAAAATTGGAGTAGACACTCAAACATCTTACAATCTTTTTTTATTATTATTAAAGATTTTCTTGTTTTACAGAAGTAAGTGTAATGCCTCATATTTTTTCCATGTAACATTTTTACAAATCCATTTCATTTGTTGAGACATTAGGGGGAGAAGGGAAAAAAAGGGGGGGGAGGTGGAGGGAGGGAAGATGGGTGGGGGTGGGGTCAGATGGCGACCTCAAAGTGGTTTACATAGAGAATCTCTCTCTCTCTCTCTCTCTCTCTCTCTCTCTCAGACACACACACACACACCTTATTGGTAAAAACAATTAAAACAATGATTTAAAACATAAAAAAATTAAACCCTGCAATAAACTAAAAATTGCATCATCATTCCAGGCATCTAGGCAGGTTTGTCTAAACAAAATGTTTTTGCAGGCATCAAAACGCTGCTTGCCTAATATCAATAGGCAAAGTGTGGTTGGTGACATACTAAAAGGTTGATTTTTTGGCAAACGCTGAACAGGGATTATGTGGCACCTATCATAGGAAAAGGGACATGGGTGGCACTGTAGTCTAAACCACAGAGCTGAAGGCTTGCCAATCAGAAGGTTGGTGGTTCGAATCCCCACAATGGGGTGAGCTCCCGTTTCTCCTGCCAACATAGCAGTTCGAAAGCATGCCGAAAAGTGCAAGTAGATAAATAGGTACCGGGAAGGTAAATGGCATTTTTGTGCCCTGCTCTGGTTTGCCATGCTGGCCATGCTGGCTTAGTCATGCTGGCCACATGACCCAGAAAAACTGTCTGCGGACAAACGCCGGCTCCATTGGCCAGTAAAGTGAGATGAGCACCGCAACCCCAGAGTTGTCTGCGACTGGACCTAACTGACAGGGGTCCCTTTACCTTTATCATAGGAAAAGTTCTGCAGATAGAAGCAGTCAAGCGGGAATATATGGAGTAAAACATTATGTCAGGTAAACTGGTCCCAAGTTCCTAAGTGCTCTGCATACTAATAGTAACGTTTTGAACCTGGGCTGGTAGCAAATAATCAAACCAGTGCAGGTCTCTGAAGCACAAGTGTGATATGGCGAGAAGGTCTCACTCCTGCCAACAATCGTGCTTTGTCTAGCCGGTGCTCTGTCTATCATATATGATGTGAACTTCCTTTCTACCCTCCCTCCCCCAAAACAAGCTGAACCCAGCAAAGGTGGTGACAGCAAATGGCTAAGATAGCAAACACAGAAGTAGATTTCCTAGGAAGCAGAAGATCAATATTTGAGAAGTAGGCGGGAGGATGGAAGAGAAATATGTTACAAGCAGGTGGGGAAGAAACTGCCAGTAAAAGCCCATTTACATGCTACTATGCTCTGCTCATTTTTTCTCATGAAGAAACATGGCCTGGATTTTACTATCTAGTGGTTATGTGCCTGTTCTAACCATCTCCAAACTGCAACACAGCAGGGCCGTTAAAAATCTTCCCAAAGTGAGTTCAGCAAGGATTCGAGGAATAAGATTCCAAAAAAAATTGCATGGCTGCCATACACTGTGCATTTTTTTTTAATCCAAAAAGATCTCGTAACAGTTATGTGAAGATCTCTTGAATTAGTCTAATGAAGGATACAGGGAGTGTAAAGGCAAGAGAAGCTAATGAGATAACTGAATTTTGCTGATAGTTGAATCATGGGCTGGTCAACCTAGCAGCAACTCCTTGGGCCCAATGCAGCCCAGCTTTTCCAAGACTTTAGCCCAGATTTACAAAGCTCCCTGTGTCTATGTTTGCATAAAGATCAGTTTCCTTCTTGATCTAGCAGCTAGCCAATCTTAGATTTCCTTTTCTGAGATGTTTCTGGCTTCTTAGAAAGATGACACATCCTTTTAGAATCATGACATCAGTGTGAAGGCCAAAGCTGGAAAACGATTAACTAAATACCTAAATATTTAACTGCTGTACTGTCAACCTCTTAGCAGGGACAGTATGTACAAAATTGAAGGTGACTTTCACAATCTTACTCAAGTCCTAATTAAGGCTGTCTATGAACATATTCACAAATTCTTAGAACAAAGATGATCATTCCTTGGTTTTCCGCGGAAATGAAATCCCCACATAGTTACCTTGGGGTCAATTTTTTGTTTTGTGTAAACACCATTTGCTGCTGTGAAGACATCGTTCAGCAACACAGAGGCATAGCCTTCCATGCTGAAAGCTAGATCTGATCTGGAAGAGAGAATACAGAGATGAAGGCATTTAAAAGGCATCCTTTGAACAGTGTTGTGCGTTGCTGGCTTCCCAAATCAGTTCCATATTATAAAACCTGATTATAACAGCAGGTTCAGAAGTCCGTAGTAGTAAAGACAACAGCAAATGAAACGAAACCGCTGGACTGTTCCAGATAGCATTTCACTCAGAAATCGCTCCGATTCATTCCTGGCAACTTCTCTAATGGTGACTTAGCTGATCTATGCAACCAAGAGCCAAAATCAGACTAATTCTCAAAAGAGATGGGCAGGAAATAGCCATGAGTGGACTTTAACAAGTGCTACAGCTAAATATCCCCTGTTCATTTCAACAGAGCTTGTGCGGTGCAAACCTCCCAAACAAGTTGGTAGCAGTTTATTGGTGGGTCATGACTAGGGTTTGAATCTTCCCTTAGGTCTGAGACCATTTCCCCACCTATATAACTATCACAGACTCATATAATTGTTGGGTTGTAAGGGACCACAACTATCATCTAGTCCAGGGTTTCCCAAACTTGGGTCTCCAGCTGGACTACAATTCCCATCACCCCTGACTACTGGTTCTGCTAACTAGGGATGATGGGAGTTGTAGTTCAAAAGCAACTGGCGACCCAAGTTTTGAAAACCCTGATCTAGTTCAACTCCCTGCGATGCAGAAATCTTTTGCTCAATGTGGTACCCTTCTTTTTTGTGGTGATGCAGGAAAACCATTTGCCTACTGTAAAAAGGTAAAGGTACCCCTGACCATTAGGTCCAGTTACAAACGACTCTGGGGTTGCGGCGCTCATCTCGCTTTACTGGCTGAGGGAGCCCGCATACAGCTTCTGGGTCATGTGGCCAGCATGACTAAGCCGCTTCTGGCAAACCAGAGCAGTGCACGGAAACGCCGTTTGCCTTCCTGCCGGAGCGGTTCCTATTTATCTACTTGCACTTTGACATGCTTTCGAACTGCTAGGTTGTCAGGAGCTGGGACCGAGCAACAGGAGCTCACCCCGTTGTGGGGATTCAAACCGCTGACCTTCCAATTGGCAAGCCCAAGTGTCAGTGGTTTAGACCACAGCACCACCCGCATCACCTACTGTGTCTTGGGGCAATTCCCAGCAGAAGTACAAGGTTAGTAAATGAGAGTGAAGTGAAGAAATGACTTTGCTTAGGAGAGCAAGCACTTTTTATGTTTAGCAGAAACACGAAATGCAGTACTGACTCAGCTGAAGCTAGTTTTTAAGTGATTTTCATATTTCATAGCCCCAGATCCAAAGAACAGTGCAAATAATTCCAAGCACTCAAGGAAGGCCTTGGACTTGTGTGTCTCCAGCAACAGCCCATCTTTTGGAACTGAAGAGAGATTTAGTTGTAGTTTTTATATGGTATGGAAAAGGCAGTGCGCTGTCAAAGGAGAGGAAATCAATGGACCAGTGTTGAGAGCAGCTGAGGCATGTGCAGATCAGCGCATTGCTCTGCTGTCTCCAGCACCAATCAGCAGGGAAACAGAGGCGGTTTTAGGGCGGCACAACTGGTGTGGCCGCACTGGGCTCCGTGCTGCGGAGGGCAGCAAAACAGTGCTGCAGAACTGAGCACGAGAGTTGGGAGGTGTGCCAAATTTTAGGGCTGCTGAAATTTGAGAGCCCAATGTCCACCACTGAGGGCAGCAGGGTGGGGAAAGAACCAGCTGGGAAGCGAGACTGCAGGCCACATTGACATCAGCCAAAGGGTCGCATGCGGCTCGTACATTATGGGATGTAAAGGACTACGGAATAAAAGCATTTTGCACCAGCCATCTCCTGCACTAATTCTTCTGACAGTTCCTGGCGAAATGGTTTCATTCTTGTGGTACACTCAAGAAACAACGATCCAACACAGAAGGAAAGGACTTTAAAATCTTACCCTGCTGCTATGAAAGCTCCAATGATGATTGCGAACACACTAATTACAATGCTCAGTGAATAGCGCTTCCTGTAAAGAGAAACCGCATGGTTGATCCTATTCAGTTTATAATTAGGATGAACACTAATCAAACTAAACACTTATGTGAACCAGTATTATGCCTCTCAGAAAGTGGTTTATGATACAGCAGAACGAAACAAAAGAATTAGGTTTATTTCTTTTAATCATACAGCACCTGCAGGCTGACAAGATTCCAATTTCCCCCCATTCTAAAATATGTTGAAGCTTCCTTTAAAAAGGGTTGTAGATCCCAGTTTTAATCCCTGGGCTCTTCAGGAAGAGCTGGGAAATATTACCACCTGAAACCCTGGATAACACAGCAAAAAATGTTGTAATGAGTAATGGTCTGGCTCAGTGAAAGGCCTATGCTCCCATTCTGTCTTACAAATAGGTCAGTCAAAGCCAGGGATCATTTGTGATGCCTTTCCAGGGATTTGTTTCTGATGCACAAGCTCCAGTGGCTTAGTGGAGTTCCCAGGGGATAGCTCAAAGAAGAGGGAAACTCCAGCCATGGAAAGGGGCAATGAAGTATCTCACACAAACAAAAGCAAATGCATCTCCAGACAGAGCCATCTGTATCTTATGAGAGCCAGTGTGGTGTAGTGGTTAAGAGCAGTGGACTTGTAATCTGGTGAACCGGGTTCGTGTCCCCGCTCCTCCACATGCAGCTGCTGGGTGACCTTGGGCTAGTCACACTTCTTGAAGTCTCTCAGCCTCACTCACCTCACAGAGTGTTTGTTGTGGGGGAGGAAGGGAAAGGAGAATGTTAGCCGCTTTGAGACTCCTTCGGGTAGTGATAAAGCGGGGTATCAAATCCAAACTCTCTTCACTCTCTTCATCTTACAATGCAAATCTGAGACAGGTCTACTCACAATTTTGTCCCGTGGTACATAGTCCCAGACAATTGTGTATAAGACTGTATACTTAATGATTCAGCGACAAGAGACGGTTACAGTAAGACATGGGTAGGCAAACTAAGGGCAGGGGGCCAGATCCGGCCCAATCGCCTTCTAAATCCGGCCTGCAGACGGTCCGGGAATCAGCGAGTTTTTACATGAGTCGAATGTGCGTTTTTATTTAAAATGCATCTCTGGGTTATTTGTGGGGCCTAGGAATTCGTTCATTTTTTTCCTTCAAAATATAGTCGTCGTCCCCCCCCAAGGTCTGAGGGACAGTGGACCCTGCTGAAAAAGTTTGCTGGCCCCTGCAGTAAGAGTATATGTAGAATCCTGAAAATACTCTATGCAAATTGCTAATTGGTTTTACGATGAACTTCTTGCAATGCACTGGGATTCTTGCAAAAGCTCAGTGCTAACTTTGAGTTGGGATTACATCCTCCCTCTCCACTATGAAAGCATTTGGGAACACCCATAATAAATCCCAATAATCTACATTCCAAACTTGTACATGATTCATCTGATTTCGGCAAAAATGCAAAGCGTTGCAGCTCTAACATCATGCTTGTGGCAGTGCCTGATGCTCCACAGAAAAGGGAAATCCTTTTCCTTTCATGTGTGAGTGAAATAAATTCGATTTGGGACATTAATAGGAGAAAACCCCTTTATGACCCAATCATTAAGGAGCCTGACTCAAAGGCATATTGCAATCTTTACTGCATTGTGACACAGCCTGGCTGAGATGGTGTGATGTTATAATGTTCACAAATATTCCAAATGCTCTGGAAGCAAGGAATCTTTGTGATCCAAATTCTGTGAGGTGGAGAACAGCTGTCAGTTTCGTTGGGATCATCTCTCCCCAGCCCTAGGAACAGGAAAAGCACGATAGGCAGGCTACTGACTGGAAAGGAAAGATGAAGGAAGGGTGTCATGTTGGCAATGAACTGAGAACAGGAACCTGAAGAAAGTTCGAGAAGATGGAATACAAGGAGGTCAAGGTAAGGAAAGGAAATGAAACGAAGAAAGCCGTGTGCTAAAAAAATCTGGAAAACAGTATGTGATTGGGGCATGGATATATCAGGAGCCAATGAGAAGGAGAAGATAAGGGAAGTCTGGGAGGACAAGGTTATGAGGTCCAGATGTGCACAGTACCTTTGAGAGTTTTGTAGAAGATGTGGCTTCTGCTGTCATTCTACTGTTGGGCCGAGAAACCAGCGGGGTATTATGGGGTGGAGGGCTGAACTTCACATACTGAGTCAAACTAACAAGCCAATTCTTTTGCTGCAAGTTTCTAGTGCTCGTAGATTAACTGGTGTCTGTTTTGTACCCAGTGCATAGTGTTCTGAGAAGCCCGAATATTATCGTCAAAATTCAATTAGCCAACAGGAACTACTCATCCATGCATTCTGGCCAGATAGCCTATCTGATAGATTGCAGTGGTATTTTAAAAATGGGAGGCAAATACTCACCCAAGAACAATCACTTCCAGCAGTAATGTAAGAGGAATGGTAAACTTCCTAAGGACTGTAAACATTGGCAAACTGGATTGTTTAAAATAGAAAGAGAGGGGGAAAATATCCATGTCATGTCAGTTTCAAGGTTTTTTTATTACAATTAATGCTTCTTTGTCTCTGCTAATGATATCATCCTGCATTAAGAAACGGGCCTGAACAAATTCTCAGCCTCTGTCATGGTCAAATGTCAGTCTGACACCACAGGCCTAATACACAACAGAATAGTTGGAAGTGACAATTCAAAAAATAAAGCAAAACTCTGCACAGCACAATAGTCAATGAAGAAAAAGTCATAGTATCAACCAATGAGGGCTTTAAGATCAGCTGGGGATGCTCGTAACATGCAGCAGAATAATTCTTAGTGGCTGTACCCCACTTACGGAATTCCCTCCCAGTACAGATCTCCAATTGTCCCTCACATTCTATGGATGTCAGGCACCGAGTTAAAGTGAATTTATTTATTTTCAATGGCTTTTGGAGCACCACGAGGATGGCTTTGTTGCAATGTTTTATTGTGCCGCCGCCTGCTTTGGACTGCGGCAACTGTATTTCATGCCAACTAATTCATTTTAATATTGTGCTGTTTATTGCATCCATTGTTAGCCACTCTTGGCTCTGCTCAGAGAAAGAGCAAATTATAAGCAAGAAATAAGAAGCAATGAGTCAATTAAGGTTTTGTGCAAACCATTTAAGAAGAGGTTTTTTAAAAAATATATATTCATTTATGCTTCTTGTTAAATAAATAAATGATATAATGTCTCCCAACAATCACTAGCTATAGGCCAAGGCATCAGGGCAGTCACTGTCAAAGGTATTGGGGCTGAATCGGCCTTGGTTGCTTGAATGGATGATTTTTATTGAGAGAGGGGGTGCCACTCACGTCTTTCAGCCACTTTTGAGACCACTGACTATGGTAACCTCCTGGGCTGAGTGCTCAGGATGGATACCGGAGACACTGTATTTCAGTGATTTCATTCCTCCTTGCACTGAACAGTCCGGAGAGCAGCAGATTCCACAAGGCGCCATTTTGTCCCTGAGGACAAACATCAACATTGGGTAGGCTCTCCGCGAACCCAACTGCAGAAGTGGCAGGAAAAACCCACACTCGTTTATTTTCTCACACAAAAAGCTGAGAATAAGCCCCAGATACCTGTACCTCCTCCCCCCAGGAGGAGGATGGGAAATGCCCGGCGCAGAATCATATTACATTGCCAGCCAAGTACACCACATAATCCGGCATATTCTAGAAGACGAGGCGAAACAATGGGTCTATTTGGAGAGAGACGCCATCAAAAACATCCCCCACAACAGCATACCCATTTCTGCAACACAATCTAAAGAAAATCCCCACAACTCTGAACAGGTTCACACAGGGAAAAGTAGGCAAACTATCCCCATCCCCCTGGCCTACCGCCCACTATTCCAACACGCAGCACAAAACCTCCCGATAAAAACCTGGAAAGCCAAAGGCCTACACTGTCTGAAGGACTTCTACAAAAACAACAAACCCATATCAAGACAACATTGGATATGTCCCTAGGAGTTTTGGAGCATGATGGCATCAGTACACTGGTGACACCTAAGCTTTATTTCTCATCTGATTCAGGAGTGGCTGCCCAAGCCCAAATGCAGTTGTGAGTGGGCTGAGCTCCAGTAAATGGAGTCAGAACTCTGGAAAGATGGAGGCTCTGTGGGCATTGGTTCCCATAAACACTGTTCAGGCGGCTGACAGCATGTGACATCTCTGCTAAAGCATCTGCACCAGTTGCCCACGTGTAACGATGGGGGCTAGTCTCAATTTTTTACATGCTTCCTTTCTGGAGATCATGGAGCTAGCGTGAATCAAATATAAAACACTATCTTTTACCTGAAACGTAGCCGGGAAGGTACAGCAAACATCATGATCGTTAATGCTTACGGAAAACATCAGCACACTAAACTTGAAGTCACCAGAAAGTTAATCATCACCCTCCTGTACGTAGGAACCAGGCTTCACACACACACAATAAAATCCTCTTTCAAGGGTAAAATTATGATTCGAGAAGCATACGGTCTTCCTGAGATTAAGGTTGTGTCCCTTCTGCTTCAAATGTATCTCAGCAAACAGGAATATACAATGGTTCAAATGACTAAAGTATTGTGATATTCGCTCAGCCAGGAAGTCCCCTCCCCTCTCCACAGATTACAGTAGAACCCATTGCTTTTTTCCTGGGGGTACGCAGGGGTACGCATACCCCTAAATGCAGTCATACCTCATGTTACGTTTGCTTCAGGTTGAGCATTTTCAGGTTGCGTCCTGCGGCGATCCGGAAGTACCGGAAAGGGTTACTTCTGGGTTTCACTGCTCGCACATGCACAGATACTCAAAATGATGTCACGTGCATGCGCAGAAGCGGCAAATCTCGACCCACAGGCACGGGTTGTGTTCTGCTCATGTTGCGAACTGGCCTCAGGAACGGATCCTGTTCGCAACCAGAGGTACCACTGTATTTTGTGAATCTAAGTTTGGCCTCATTGAGGGGCAGTATTTCAATATGAGTAGGAAAATGAGAGTACAGTGGTACCTCGGGTTAAGTACTTAATTCGTTCCGGAGGTCCGTTCTTAACCTGAAACTGTTCTTAACCTGAAGCACCACTTTAGCTAATGGGGCCTGCTGCTGCACGATTTCTGTTCTCATCCTGAAGCAAAGTTCTTCACCCGAGGTACTATTTCTGGGTTAGCAGAGTCTGTAACCTGAAGCATATGTAACCTGAAGCGTATGTAACCCAAGGTACCACTGTACCCCTAAACATTTTTCTTAGAAAACTGGTGGAACCTAAACTATAATTAAACACCAAATTTCCAATGGTCAGGTAGCTCACAGCTCCAATGGGATCCCTGTAGCTGATTATCTAGGTTCCCTTACTGGAGGTCATATTTTGGTCTCTTACTCCCCCTTCCCTCCCTCCCTCGTCTTCCTCCCTCTTTGCTCTATGATCTCAAGAATTATCCCAGCACTTCACTAGACCGCAAATCAAAGAATGGGCGTGAGATTCTGCTGCCTTGCTGGCATAGGAAACGGAAGCGGAGAGCTCAACTCACACGGAAAGCATAGATCTCTATCCCTGACTTGCACTCGGCTTGCTTCAAGACCGAGTACGGACAGCCTCCCCTTTTTCTTTTAGCATGGGCCTGTGCCACATCGATACAGTGGTACCTCGGGTTAAGTACTTAATTCATTCTGGAGGTCCGTTCTTAACCTGAAACTGTTCTTAACCTGAAGCACCACTTTAGCTAATGGGGCCTCCCGCTGCCGCTGCGCCGCCGGAGCACAATTTCTGTTCTTATCATGAAGCAAAGTTCTTAACCCGAGGTATTATTTCTGGGTTAGCGGAGTCTTTAACCTGAAGCATATGTAACCCGAGGTACCACTGTACACCCACTTCCAGGCTGAGGTATCTTTACAATTAAGCTGTGTGTGTGTATTGTGCAATTTGCTGCCTGGGTGTTTGCTACCTAGCAGCCCGAAGGAGCATCTGTGCGCTCAGCCTCTTTTATTTTTCATGCAATAAACCTATCTTCCTCTACATCCTGGTGCGTGAACTTCTTTACTGGGCATAAGGTTCAAGGGGGGTGCGCAATGACTCCAAATAAAAGATTCAATTCCTTTCAGAGCTGTACTTTGGGTAGGGTTCCTCTTTTTCCAGGACCCGCCCTCTTTTTCAGGGGTAAAATTTGAGACAAATTGCATTTATTTGCTTGGAATGGCCGTCATAGCATCCTCTTTTTTTTTTTGCTCTTCAAAATATGGCAACCCTAACTTCACACAGATGGTGGACATACACCTGGTTACACATATGCCACAAGGCCAGGTTCAAGGCTCTTGCATTGATAAACAAAGCCTTTATATCCCAGCGCAGTCACTGAGTTCATCAGGAAGAGCGCTGCTAGTTCCCCATGTTTCAGAAGCCTGACGGGCTTCAACTACAAGTCAGGTCTTTAATGTTGCTACTCGCATGCAGAGAATACTCTCCCTGCCCTCTCTCTGCAGGCCTCCTTGCTGTTAACTTTCAAACGTCTCTTGAAGATTTTTCAATGCTTTTCACAGAATCATGCAGTTGGAAGGAATCTTTCGAACCCTTGACCCTGAGATTAAGACTCTCATGCCCTACCCTGCGCTATACTGATAGGCGTATTCAGTGGTTTAGATTTCCCCCCCTCTTATTATTATTGCTTTATATAGCTTATGTTTTATTGCATTTCTATATATTGTTGAACAGCACCTTGATATTTTGAGTGGAAGGTACATAAATATTTTTTAAAATAAATAAATAATAAATAAAATAAAATAAATCAACGGAAGGTATGTACTAATCCTTTCTAACTGCCTCACGCAGCACATAAGAGCAATTTTACCCAGTGTGTGTTGTCCAAAACAATCTGCGGATGTGGCAATATGGCTCTCATTCAATCAACATGTAGCTACACCACGGCTCTAATAGTCTCAAAACATTTTCACTTACAGGGGCTAAATAAAAACCAAACTGCCCGGCAACAACCCAATTTATGCTGTACCTTAACTTGCTTGTACTTGATAATCCACTTATGTGATTCCCGACGTAAATGAGAGGAAGTGGAAACAGCTGCAACAAAATGAGGGTACCATTTAGAATGAAACCAGTTTTTTTCCTGAAACTGTGGAAGAAATCTATTCAAGTTAGTTCATACACTCCAGCACAGAGAGAAAAAAGTAAATACAGCAAACGGCAAACTTTGTAAATGATTGCCACTTTTGAACTTTGGCAATGTTTTATGCAACATTCCAGGCCCTGCTTATTTCAATAAAAGAAGTTTGATCTCACAAAAATGAAGATTACCAGGAACCATGAAAATAAAATAAAGGAAAAAATCAACACGTCATGTTTACACCAACCACAATTTTGACCCCACTAAGCCTAACAAAGGGATGCGGGTGGCGTTGTGGTCTAAACTACAGAGCCTAGGGCTTGCCGATCAGAAGGTTGGCGGTTCGAATCCCCGTGACGGGGTGAGCTCCCGTTGCTTGGTCCCTGCTCCTGCCAACCTAGCAATTCGAAAGCACATCAAGGTGCAAGTAGATAAATAGGTACCACTCTGGTGGGAAGGTAAACGGCGTTTCCGTGTGCTGCTCTGGTTCGCCAGAAGCGGCTTAGTCATGCTGGCCACATGACCCGGAAGCTGTCTGTGGACAAACGCCGGCTCCCTCGGCCCATAGAGCGAGATGAGCGCTGCAACCCCAGAGTTGTCTGCAACTGGACCTAACAGTCAGGGGTCCCTTTACCTTTAAGCCTAACAAGAGGGCAGCAGAAGGCAACCATTTCACATTATAAAGTAGGGGTGGAGAATTTGTTGGGACTCCAAATCCTATCATCCCACACTGACTAGGGCTGATGGGAGTTGGAGTCAAACACCATCTGGAGGACCAAAGGTTCCACACCCCTGCTGTAAAGACTCAATAAACATGGGCCAAGTTGAAAGATTAAAAATCTAATGGATGTTTACTTGGAGCACTTCGTGTTTAATGGGGCTCATTTCCATATGACTGTAGAGAATTGCAGCCTATGTTTGTTCTAATGTTTCCAGCCCAACATCTGGGCTGAAAAATATGGATCTACACGGCACACAGTTCGCCAGGTGGGGGCCAATTCAGAGGCAGCATTGAACACAAAGTCCACTGTGTAATTGAATGAATAGGAGTGTGAGAGAGGAGAAGCCACCCCAAGCCTGCTGTTACCCTCTGCTCTTGCAAGCGACTCCTGCCTTTTTGGCTGTATAAGAACTGGTACAGGGAGAAGCAAGGATGCTATTCATATACAGTCGTACCTTGGAAGTCAAACAGAATCCGTTCCAGAAGTCCGTTTGACTTAAAAAAATTAAAATAAAATAAAAAAATTTGTTTATACCCCACCCATCTGGCTGGGTTTCCCCAGCCACTCTGGACGGTTCCCAACAGAATAAGCGCAATAAAACGTCAAACTTAAAAAACTTCCCTAAGCAGCCCTGTGGAACACCCTCCCATCAGATGTCAAGGCAATAAGCAACTATTTTACTTTTAAAAGACAACTGAAGGCAGCCCTGTTTAGGGAAGTTTTTAATGTCTGATGCTGTATTGTTTTTAATATTCAGTTGGAAGCCGCACAGAGTGGCTGGGGAAACCCAGCCATATGGGCAGGGTATAAATAAAAAATTATTATTATTATTATTATTATTATTATTATCATCATCATCATCATCATCATCATCATCATGCCTGCAGTAAACCATGGTTTAGCATTACATACTTTGTTGGAGAGAAAACTCAGTATTCCCTATGGTGCCTAGACAAGCATGGGGCAGAAAAGCTCTAAAGCACTGATTATATTATGCAACCTATAACATAGCATCAGATTAGGATTTTCACTTTCTAAAGTTATGCACTTTGTCTTACCTTCATAGGAATACTCTTATCAAAATCGGGAAAGTGAATGATTCTATTCAGTTTTGACACATATAAGATCAGGATAGTGGTTACCATCTAAAAAGCAAAATAATAATTGTCATGTACGCAACAGCAAAATACTATTTCAAATATGCAGGTGGGTGAATCACAAAACACTCTCTGTTAGTCTGCAGAAAAGCTACATTGGTGCACAGTGATTCTAACAGGCATTCCATGTTTGCAGACTTCACCAGTAGAGGCAGATCCTAACCAATGGCAGCAACCATTTTAGGCGTGTCAGATATGTGTGTGACCGCGCACATTTGCACTGCGCCAAACCTGGAAGTGACCGCAAAATGTCACAAAAACATTGCTAAAAGGGGCAGAATGGGGCAGAGCTGGAAGGGGGAGGAACGGGGAGAAAGGATTTGATGATAATAAATCAAAATTTGAAATAGAAGTATTGAATAACAAGTATAAAATTTTGTCCAAAATGTATAAATTGCTGCTTGAATGGCATTTGAAAGATGAAGAGGTAAAGTCGGTTATGATACATTGGGCCAAAGATTGTGGGTATAATATACAGTTAAAAGATTGGGGGAAACAATGGAAAGAAGGATTAAAATTTACTGCATGCAATGCTTTGAAAGAAAATGTGATGGAAATGATGTATAGGTGGTATATTACCCCTGTGAAATTAGCTAGAATGTATAAAACAAGTAATAAATGTTGGAAATGTAAAGAAAAGGAAGGAACTTTCTATCACATGTGGTGGGGATGTAAAAAAGTGAAAAACTTCTGGGAAATAATATATAATGAGATGAAAAAGATGTTGAAATATACATTTATTAAGAAACCAGATGCATTTTTACTTGGCATTGTAGGAGATGATATTAATAGACAGGATTGTAAGTTGTTTTTATATGCAATGACAGCAGCAGGAATATTACTGGCACAAAAATGGAAGCAAGAAGAATTACTGACAAAAGAAGAATGGCAGATGAAATTGATGGACTATGCAGAATTTGATAAACTAACAGGCAACCTGCAGGACCAGAGATTCTTAGAAGACTGGAGTAAATATACAAACTATTTGAAAAGTAACTGTAATGAACAGACTACGCTAGTAGGACAGCAAGAAGTTTTCTAAGGAGGACTATTTGAAATATTGCAAGAAAGACTATGAGGAGAATTATTAGTTAATGATAATTAAGAGTAATAGAGAAATTAAGAAATGCAGAGTAAGTGATAAAGAACGAAAAATCATCAGAGGTGTTGACGGAAGTCTAAAACATTGTATAAGATAAGAAGTTATGTTATATGATTGTTGGAAATATGTTTAAAAAAACAATAAAAATGTATTTAAAAAAAAGGAAAGGGGGAAGAACGAGGCAGAGTGGCCTTAAGCGGGCCCACCTACACGCATGGGGGTCCAGAACATAACCACCGTGCAAACTGGTCACAGTCTGCACTGCACATCCAGAACGGCAGTGCCACTGGGAAGCTTTGAATGTACTGTACAGTGGTACCTTGGGTTACATACGCTTCAGGTTACAGACTCCGCTAACCCAGAAATAGTGCTTCAGGTTAAGAACTTTGCTTCAGGATGAGAACAGAAATTGTGTTCCGGCGGCGTGGCAGCAGCAGGAGGCCCCATTAGCTAAAGTGGTGCTTCAGGTTAAGAACAGTTTCAGGTTAAGTATGGACTTCCGGAACGAATTAAGTACTTAACCCGAGGTACCACTGTAACAAGCTAGAATGAGTCCGAGCAAAGCACTGGGCTTGGGCTCTGTCGGCCTGCCCTCCCTCCATATGGCCTGAATTCTGCGGTGTTTAGTTTTGCTTTCAAAGAATCTCCAGTTAAAGGGAAATCACGGTTGAAAACTTTTGTGACTCAACAAGGCTATGGATTGAAATTGGCTTGTTTAGAAAGAAAATGGGGTTTGTTTTAGACCATGGTTCATATCCAGCACTAAGTCAGCATTCCTTGAAAGTGAAACTAAACATTGCAGAAGTCCTTTTCCTGGCTATGCAGAAGTGCAAGTCCAAGATTCTGGTTGTGCTCATTCTAGCTCGTGCATGCAGCGCTAAACCACGGTTCAGTGTTACATGCCACCATGGTCACTGTATCCCAGCTTTATGGCTGGAGCACACCTCAAGTTGTACATTAGTGACTAGGTTGTACGGTCCTACCTTGGTTTTCGAACAGCTTAGTTCTCAAACGTTTTGGCTCCTAAACGCCGCAAACTTGGAAGTGACTTTTCCGGTTTGCAAACTACAGTCATACCTCGGGTTACAGACGCTTCAGGTTGCGTTTTTTTAGGTTACTGACCCCCTGAAACACGGAAGTACCGGAATGGGTTACTTCCGGGTTTCAGGGGTCACGCATGCGAAGAAGCACTAAACCGTGCATTGCGCATGCACAGAAGTGCCGAATTGCAACCCACGTTCACAACCCGAGCGTCCACTGTATTTTTGGAAGCCAAATGTCTGACGGGGCTTCCATAGCTTCCAATTGGCTGCAGGAGATTCCTGCAGCCAATCAGAAGCTGTGCTTTGGTTTCCAAACATTTTGGAAGTCGAATGGACTTCCAGAATGGATTTCATTCGACTTCCAAGGTACGACTGTACTCAAAAGGAAGCAACCAATCTGCATTTCATCCATTTTGAGACGAAGGTGAATAAACATACTACTCAGGTGTTCCCCTCACACAATTTCAGTCATGTAAGTGCGGAGAGCTGGGGCACTATTTTTGGCCCTGTCCCCTCTGCCACATTACTGTCACATTTCATGTGTCAAGAAGGTGCATGTCTGTGGCAGGAAACCTTCAAGAGTAGAGAACGCCCCTGCTACAGACATGCATCTCCTCGACACATGAAATGTGACATGTGATTCAAGATCCTGATCAGTTGATGAAGCCAGAGATGGTGGTGCAATATAGGGGAAGCTCCAGGGGTCCTGTCTGGACTCTCCCATCTCACATGATGGGACATATGAAGCTACCATGTCCTGAGTCAGACCATTGGTCAACGTAGCTCAGTATTGACACTGACTAGCATTATGGTGCTGGAGGTGACTCTTGAGAGTCCCATGGTCTACAAGATCAAACCTCTCCATTCTGAAGGAAATCAGCCCTGAGTGCTCACTGGAAGGACAGATCGTGAAGCTGAGGCTCCAATACTTTGGCCACCTCATGAGAAGAGAAGACACCCTGAAAAAGACCCTGGTGTTGGGAAAGATGGAGGGCACAAGGAGAAGGGGACGGCAGAGGACGAGATGGTTGGACAGTGTTCTCGAAGCTACCAACATGAGTTTGACCAAACTGCGGGAGGCAGTGGAAGACAGGAGGGCCTGGCATGCTCTGGTCCATGGGGTCACGAAGAGTCGGACACGACAAAATGACTAAACAACAACAAAAAAGCAGTACCACTCCAGGGTTTTGGATGAGAGTCTCTCCCAGCTATACGTGGAGATGCCAGAGACTTTAACATGAGATCTCCCGTGTGCAAGGCTCTACCACTGAGCTTCAGCCCTTTCCCACCCAAAGTTACAGAATTGCATGAATAGGCCTTAAACCTTAATCGGAAGTCATTCAACCCTGATATCCCAAGCCACTGACATCAACAAAACCCATATTTTGGAGCTAGCTTTAAGCTATCTGTCATTTAGAACCTTTTAATCTTTGAACATAAGGGACACGGGTAGCGCTGTGGGTTAAACCACAGAGCCTAGGACTTGCCGATCAGAAGGTCAGCGGTTCGAATCCCTGCAACGGGGTGAGCTCCCGTTGTTTGGTCCCTGCTCCTGCCAACCTAGCAGTTTGAAAGCACATCAAAGTGCAAGTAGATAAATAGGTACCACTCCAGCAGGAAGGTAAACGGTGTTTCCGTGCGCTGCTCTGGTTCGCCAGAAGCGGCTTAGTCATGCTGGCCACATGACCCGGAAGCTGTACGCCTGCTCCCTCGGTCAATAAAGCGAGATGCGCACCGCAACCCCAGAGTCGGCCACGACTGGACCTAATGGTCAGGGGTCCCTTTACCTTAATCTTTGAACATACCTGTCCTACTCCAAGAAACACTGGAGATGGGAATCTAGAAAGAAAAGAAAACTGTATCAGATGCAATTTAAAAACAAAACAAAACAAGATTTAGACAATTCTTTATTTATTTCAGAAAGAAACAAAGCTCTTGAAGATGTTGATAAAACGAAAGAAAATATAACAGCTCTTCAAGTTAGGTTCTGATATTGCTTGAAGGAAAATAAAATTGGCTTATCCCCTTTCAAAGAAGGTTAGTGCAAATTGAGGGGGGGCAGTTAGCTTTTCAATACAATATTTTCATGACAATTGAAAGACGAGACAGGCAAAAGTTGCCAGTACAGATTACTTGGCAATTTTTCTATGCAATTCTCATCAACAGCATATGAACCTATTTCTCTAATCTGGCAGGACTTTATTTTTCCTTTGGCAAAGAAAGATGAAAAGCTGCCTGATTCTGAAGCTACAGACTAAAACTTCCATTGTTTTGACAAGCTGCTTGGAATCGTACTTTTGTGATCGCATTGAACATTTCCTGCTACAGAGATGTGGTCTTCTCATAGAACTTTATAGTTCCCAGCAAGCCTTGGGAAGAAACCACAGCTGTAAAACTATTTATCATTACTTAGAAATAAAAAAATAAAATGTTACATGGTGGGATGCAAAGATTCCCTTCCACAAGCAGAAAGTCTCTACCACTCACAAAAGGGCTATTTCTGACTCGAGGGAAGAGTTTTGCACATGGAAGGTGACCCCAAAGCCAGGAGTTATTTTGCTTGTACAGGCTCAAGACTGTGATCCAGTGGACTTTACACGTTTCAGAAGGAGTAGGGAACCTTTGATCCTCCAGATGATGATGAACTGCAACTCCCATCTTCCTTGACCATTGACCATGCTTGCTGGAGCTGATGGGAGTTTAATCATGAATCTGGCGATCTCTCACATCCAGCTCCCATATCCCAACTGAGGAGGCCTTTTCCTCTCCCAGCAGCCACCACAGGGCTTTCTGAGGACCATCTGGCCCTATGGGGAAAGCTGCCCCCCATCTAGCTCTTGCTGTTCTGTGTGAGATGGACTCTTCCCCACCCCCCCGTCAACTGCAACCACAGGACCATTCAACAGCCATCTTGCCCTATGGGAAGTTCTAGTTTTCAAAGAGCTCCCTCTCCACACAGCTCAAGATGGAGGATCTATGGTTGAGTGGCTCCTATGTCCGGGAGATAGGCCTGTTGCTGGTTTTAGATGGGGCTGCACTCTCTTTGTAGGCGAGCTCCACATTCTGGGGGTGCTTCTTGATCCATCTTTTGTCGCCTCGGGTGCAGGTGCCCCCTGAGGCTTGGAATGCCCATTATCAGTTCCAGCTGATGCAACAGCTGCAGCCATAGCTGTCAACTTTTCCCTTTTCTTGCGAGGAATCCTATTTGGAATAAGGGAATTTCCCTTTAAAAAGGGGGAAAGTTGACAGCTATGGCTGCAGCTGTTCCTGGACCAAGGCCATAGTGGTCCAGACACTGCTGGTTAAAGATCTCTGCTGGCAGTCAATATGCTCTCAGGCCAAATTTAAGAGGTAACTATTCACATATAAAGCCCAGCCTACTTGAAGGACCACCTTTATCCATACATTAGGGCTGCCATGTTTCAAAAAGTAAAAACCAGGACACCCCAAACTTGCTGAGCTTTTTTAAGACCCACCCCCCAAAAAGTGGTTTTCCTATTGACTTGTCTAAGATCAAGGACAAAGTGCCACCTTTCAGAAATTCTCCTCGGACGTCAATTCCACCTTTGAAATCCCAGTAAAGTCTGGGAAAATCAGAACGTACGGCAGCCCTAATACATGTCTGTCTGTCCTTTGTGATCTGCTGGAGAAGCACTGCTAACTGACCTGTGTGATATCTGAGTTTGACAGCTAAAAGAAATGGGAGTTTGTAATGTAGTACTGCCTGTAGTACTGAGGAATTCACATATTAAAAGAGGTGTCTTCTGTGCTTAGTTTTAGATACCAGCTTAAAACATCTTTATTTGCACAAGCTTAGATTGCCATGTGGCCTGCGTACACTGCTTTGAGAAGCTTTTTTTCTTCTTCTTCCATTTGATTTAAGGGTTTAGAAATGTATGGATAAATAAAGTAAAAAAGAGAAATTGTTGAAGAATGCATTCTTGAACCATGAAAGCTGTTAGTTTTGACTGTATGCGTATGATTCATGAAACACATTCCTGCATTTCCACCCTCCCAAGCTGGCTAACCACCAGAAAAAGCAACAGCTGAGCAAGAACTTTGGACTGAGAAGCTCTGGAGCTCAGTTCAACCTTTGCCACCAAAGCCAAAGCTGTCCAAATTTCGAACGATATTTATTGAATTCTATATCTCACTTTTTCCTCTAAGGAGGGAACACATTGTTCTCTGCCTCCTCATTAATCCCTACAATAACCCTGTGAAGCTTAGATAGAGTAACTGGCCCAAGGTCACCCCAGAGCTTCATGGCCCAGCAGGGATTTGAACCCAGGTCTCTTCCAGCGCCAAGCCCAACACTCTAACCACTACACCACACTGTCTCCCCAAAGAGACCTGAACAGGAAACCTGATGCTCTCACACTGAGCTTCCCAGTCACCAAACACCTTGCAAAATGCAAGTGTGAGTTCAAGAAGAGATGGGGGGAAACATTATTTACAGAGGGGTGAAAGAGAAGTACCGATGAAGGAGGTTTGTGGCCCAGCCAGGGACAAATGGGGTGGGTGGGTTGCCGTCGAGTTAGTAGGATCGGTGCCCAGAGGCAGCGGGGACGGACGCTGCAAGGAAGTCTTGGGTAGAAAAGTAGCTTTTGAATGGGGCAGGGGCAGGAACCGGATCTCACAACCACGATCGGGGAGGGGGAAGTTGGGGGTTTTGTCCCCCCACCACCTCCGACGGTGCACGGGATCGCCAGCCGTCCAGGTGCTCGTCCTCCTCCTCCTCACCTGTAAGCCGTCAGCACCGCCTTGTTGACCAGGACGATGCAGAAAGAGCAGATCCCGTAGAAGAGGGCGGAAAGCAGCCGGAGCAGAGGGGAAGGGGCGGCGGCAGAAGCGGCCGGCTCCGGCTTCTCCTCTTGGCTGCCTTTCATTTCTTGGCGAGACCCGGGCGCCCGGCCATTCCGCGCGGCATCCCCGCCGCCGCCGCCGCCGGAGGAAGCCGAGCCAAACAGGAAGGAGATCGCGGCCGGCCAGCCAGCCAGCCAGTCTGCCCGTCCCCACCCACTTGGCGGCGGCGGCGGCGGCAACGCGCCCTCTTGCGCTCCCGCGGAAGCTTCTCGCCAGCGCTGAGTTTGGGGCGCCCTCTGGTGCCGCTTTCGCCTCTCCAGGCAGCGCAGAGCGCAGGCCGCTCGGGTTAGGGCGCGCTGGCATTTAAGCGCGACCCATGCGCCGCGCAAGAGTTATGGGGACTGTGATAGGAATTTTGAGGTCTTGTTGCTGTTGTTTAGTCGTTTAGTTGTGTCCGACTCTTCGTGACCCCACACAAAAAAGAGTTGTCTAAATCTTGTTTTGTTTTTAAATTGCATCTGATACAGCTTTCTTTTCTTTCTAGATTCCCATCTCCAGTGTTCCTTGGAGTAGGACAGGTACAGTATGTTCAAAGATTAAAAGGTTCTAAATGACAGGTAGCTTAAGGCTCGTTCCAAAATGTGGGTTTTGTTGATGTCAGTGGCTTGGGATATCAGTGTTGAATGACTTCCGATTAAGGTTTTAAGGTTTAATTCATGCAATTCTGTAACTTTGGGTGGGAAAGGACTGAAGCTCGGTGGTAGAACCTTGCACACGGGAGTCTCCGGCTTCTCCAGGTATAGCTGGGAGAGACTCTCATCCAAAACCCAGGAGTGGTACTGCTTTGTTGTTGTTTAGTCCTTTAGTTGTGTCCGACTCTTCGTGACCCCCTGGACCAGAGAACGCCAGGCACTCCTGTCTTCCACTGCCTCCCGCAGTTTGGTCAAACTCATGTTCATAGCTTTGAGAACACTGTCCAACCATCTCGTCCTCTGTCGTCCCCTTCTCCTTGTGCCCTCCATCTTTCCCAACATCAGGGTCTTTTCCAGGGAGTCTTCTCTTCTCATGAGGTGGTCAAAGTATTGGAGCCTCAGCTTCAGGATCTGTCCTTCCAGTGAGCACTCAGGGCTGATTTCCTTAAGAGTGGCTAGGTTTGATCTTCTTGCAGTGCATGGGACTCTCAAGAGTCTCCTCCAGCACCATAATTCAAAAGCATCAATTCTTCGGTGATCAGCCTTGTTTATGGTCCAGCTTTCACTTCCATACATCACTACTGGGAAAACCATAGTTTTTACTATACGGACCTTTGTTGGCAAGGTGATGTCTCTGCCGGATTTACAGATAAGCTAAACAAGCGCTTACGGCCCCACTCTCTCTCTTTTTTTTCAAATATTTTTTATTGGTTTTCACAAAATTATAAACAAACACATAAAACAAACATAAATCATAACCTTATTAAAAAGTACTTATTAACATGGTTAAGTGACTTCCTCGCTTCCCCTTGGTTGAATTTCAGTGCATATCCTTTTAACGGCTTTCCAAGTCACAGTTCTTATAAAATTTAACTTGAACATTAACATCCTTAGATCTTTTCATTTTGAAATTATACATATAAATTCATCACTTAACTTATATAAAATCCTAAGCCGATTAAGTATCTGCAAGCTGTTTCCAATTAATTTAACTTGACATATTTAACTCTCTTGGCCCCCCCCCGACGAAATTTAAAGGGGGGAAAAACACCTGGATGTGCATTTCCAAAATATAAGATAAAAAACTAATAAAACTTGCATACAGCAACAGTGTTTTGTGTTGAGTAAGCTCCTATGATGTAAGTAATGGGCCTCGCCTGCTAGCCTGCTCCCTAAAATATCACCGGTTTGCTCATTTCTATATATAGGGTGCCGACATTCTGCTATTTGTTTATTTTTTTTCTTTTCAAAATATAGTCTGGCCCCCCACAAGGTCTGAGGGACAGTGGACCAGCCCCCTGCTGAAAGTTTGCTGACCCCTGGACTAGATTATGAGTCTTTGTAAATTGTGTTTCTAAAGGAACTTATGTTGTTGCCAAATGCCAATGTGTTTATAATCCATTATTATTATTATTGCATTTTGGTGCCTTTGTTGTTCAAGAACTCAGGTTGCTTTCTTACCTGTTACAATTGGTTTTCTGAGAGATCTTCTATTCCTAATCCATTATGAAGCACAGCAACACCTGTTATTAAAGGTTCATTCCTGGAGACCCCATCAGCAAGGCCGTGAGTGGGGTCTTGTCATCTGGGGAGCCCAGGACCTCCATACACACTGCCCAGGTTTGCACCCAAGGAAGGTCACTTTGGTGCTATTAACGCAGCGGTTTGACTTCACCCTCAGAGGCGAACTCCATTGTCTCGAGACTGATGGATGCCAATAGTCCTGGAGATCAAATGCTTTTGCACACTGCCATGAGAATGGCAAATTGAAGTGACAAACATTACTCAGCCATAACAGCCTTTGTATGACCTACACATATTTCCCCTTCAGCAAATCCTAGAACCCATTTCTCATTCTATTTCACAACCGATCCATATTTAACTTTCTCAGCCCTTCACAGCAGCAGGATTGATATTCACATTCTTTCTTGAGAGATCAGGATCTCGACATCTTATTTTGAATGTATACTTATGAACCTATAATAGCATGTTAAAAACATTCTCCTAACCATACACTAATACAGTCAACACTGCATATACAGGAATTCAAACTGTATGGCAGCAAGTTTGCCCTCTTCTATAAAAGCTGAAGTTTTATCAGTTTGCTGGACTGGAGCATTCAGGTGTGTTTTAACACAATGCCAAGGAGGAAAGACGACAAGGCTCTTAGAGAAGCAAGTGCTTTTCATGAAACTGGGCCACCTCCAACCAATTTTACGTCCATCATTCTACCGTGGGAAAGAAAGGCTATTCAAAAATGGAAAACATTCAAGACAGTTCCCAATCTTCTCCCTGTGAGGGGAGCATGTTTAGGGAAGCTTTTAATGTTTGATGCATTACTGTATTTTAATATTTTGTTGGAAGCCGCCTAGAGTAGCTGGGGAAGCCCAGCCAGATGGGCGGGGTATAAATTATTTATTTATTTATATTATTCGAAGCTGGCACAAGTGACTCAACATCAACACACCTGGCACTGAATTGCTAAAGAAGTTTGGATGAATATTCTAAGAGCTCAAGAATGATAACCACAAACTGATCAAATATATAGAACAATGACAAGTGGTACACTTGCTGATGGTCAATTAAGCAAGGGCATTTGATTAGCAACCCGTTTGCTACTTAGCCTCTTAATTCCTACGGAAGCAGTCAGGGTGTACTTCGATTGTCACACATGATTTCTCCACCTTGACTTTATTTCTCTTAAATAAATCATGACATGATGTAATATGTGTTGTTGTTCATCTGAGGTTGTATGTATCCCATTTTATGACCTGCTAAGGAACAAATGATTGCTTTTATGTCCTGATACTGATATGCAAAACCACAGAATTCAAAGAGCACTTTCTTTTTCCCACGGCTGTATTTGTAGCTCCTTCTCCTCACTCACAGTTTAATAAAAATATTTTCCAGTGATAGAATAAGCCAGCCCTTAAGAAAGCATATGAACAAAAACAGGCTTATTAGTCAAGGTTTCAAATGCACACAAGGTGCTTTGCATTTCCTGTTAAATAACTGTTAAATAAATCAGAGAGAGAACTGTACCAACCAGTTCTTCAGTGTACAAGAGTCAGAGACACAGAACTATTGTGCATGCACCAGAACTTCTGAATGTAGCATACGATCTCAAGGATACAAGCAACAGTATCATCATAAACAGTTTTAAAACTCAGGCAACTTTTTATTCAAAGCTTATTAGAATTACAGCATTTTAATTCATGCCAAAAGTACAGCTTAATCATATGAAGCAGAGAATTCTTGAACCACCATTTCAAAAAGCCCATCTTTTTCACAAATGTAACTTATTCTGGAGTTTTCCCAAAGATGTATTTTATACATAATTGGTAAAGCAGCTCAACTAGCCTAGAGCTAGTCAGTATGCAGGGTTTTCTTTTAAAAAAATAATTAAATGCATATTTTCAATATGCATTCTGTGTAAATATAGATTGAAAAAAGGGGATGTGTTTGTGTGTACCAACAATGAACTAGGTCTTGCTCGCAATACCAGATGTTGCAGTCGTAAGTTTACCTTTAAGTTATCAGTTGGATTCCATGAAGTGCAAAATGTTTTTCCCCTTTCGGGGAAAGCATCAAAGTTGGCATTTGAGGGTCCTTAGCCTTTTTTCCCAAGGACTTCATGTCAATTGTTATGTGCTCGAAAAATCCAGATTGAAGTGCTTTGCTTTAAAGAATCAGAGGTGGCAAACAAACATAAGAAATTAACAAGCCCAAAAGTGACAGTGTAATTTAAATCCATCTACTGCACTACCTTCCCCCTTTCTAGCTGTTTGCCAGCATTAATACATAATTCTTAAGGATATACAAAAATGACTTTGACACTATATAAGTATAACCCTGGAAATGTATCTTTATCTTGCCAATGACAAGACATCTGTAATTAAACTTTATATTGGGAAATAACATTCTTTGCTCATTTGTTGTGGTCAGAAGGAATGAAGTCCAACAAATTCTTAAATAATAGGTGGTTGTTAGGACAAGTATCACATAGTTTATATTTTTATGCCAATAGCCTTAATTTTTTTCTAAAAACAGGAGCATAAAATTCTCTTAGTCTATTATGCACCTCTACTCAATTTGATCACAAATTGCTATAAAAGGCACATGCCTGGCATATGATAACTTAAAACTATTAAGGCTATACCTTTTTTCCCCGTTGAGTGCTCAAGAGCACTAAATGCTATCCCTATATCTTAATTTGGGGGGAAAGGGGAAAAAATACTAATCCATACATCTCACACTTGCAACTACTTCCGGAAGCCTAATTTACTAATTGTATAGCAAATACTTTTATCAATAACTGTACTAGCTAGTGAACACAAAACTTGGTATGTGATGTTTCAAATGGAAGCAATAAGGTGGCGTTATGCAAGAAATATCTATCTGCAATTAAAATCTTCTGAAGCAGTATTAGTGTTTGCTGTCTTTTACTAAAATGCTACCCTGTAAATATCCCCATTACCAAAAACAAATCCCATTGCTCTAGGGTTTAAATCTGAAAGAAATCCTCAACTGATGGAATGTTACCATGATGCCTAGAATTTGCAAGATGTATCACTCAGTTATAGGTGAGTCCAACAATGTGCAAATGTTCCCAATATTCTGTTGGGAACAAGAAGTGCTACTCAACCAAAAGACTGCCAAGACCTCAGCCTACTAAAAGGAAAGTCAGTCTCCATGTCAGTAGTCACAGCGAAGAATCTGAACAACATACTACCCAGTTATTCTATGCTGCTATAAGGTTACAACAGCGATTTCTAGCATTCTTGCGAGCAATGCTAGGTAAAATATTGATGTTTGAAAAACCATGGTTGCATCACTGTTTACATCCAATTTAAAAAAAAAAGTTTCAACTATTTTCTTTGAACGTACGTACCATTATTCTAATCTAATAAGTTCAGAAAGTGCTTCCTGTGAAAACTTTATCAAAGAATGACAGGAATTCTGACTTTACACACTTTTACATAGAGGCAAGCCCCACTGATTGCAGTGACTTACTTCCACATAATTGTGATTAAGAGCAAAGCCCTAACTTTGCAAATCTAGCTTTCCATAACATGAGCATTTCCCACTCTGCATTATACAGTCTTCTATTTACAAAATACTTTAAAAAGCTTTACATCTGACTTTCTCATACAAAAAAAAAAGTGCAATTCTCTTACCCCATTTCCTGGGGCAACAACATTCTTCATAAATTCTACAGAATAGCAGCCTATAGAAGCAAATAAGGTGCTTAGCTTATGCCCAGGAGCTAACTGGTTTTAAGTACCAAATGCAGTACTTTTTATCAGCAGGTCCCGTTGGTCTATTACTGTCGTAATGGTGCCCCAGCCAAGTTGGCAAGCTCAATTAGTGCCAGTGCTCCATGCAAGCGTTCGCGCTGTTCTTGGAGGCGGCTACAGGAAACTGAATGGGCAGTATTTTTTTCCTCCTCCTCCTCATCTTCAGACTGAAGATATTCCATGGGATCCTGTTGCTCCTGGTCAGGCTTATGAGTAGTTTTGCTTTTCAACGTAGGAGTGCGCTGTTCTCTCATCTCCCAGTACCTGTCAGTAAAGATGAATGTTAGCATTATAAATAGCAACTGAAAACACTGTAGCCTGATAGTCCCTTGGATTAAGCTAAGGAAAGGATTGGTTCATTCAAAGCAAAGACGACTGTGAAGTAAGAAGGAATAAGAAGCCTTTAAAAAATAAGACTTGCCGAGTGTGGTTTGAAATGCCATACTTACAATACATCCAAAGTGACATGACAAAATGTTCTCAATTCTCAATGCTTTTAAACTTATTTAATTTATGAATTGCTTTTAAACATTGCAAAGTATTTTTTAAATAATAATAATAATAATAATAATAATAAACAGCTTTGCATTTTATATGAAAGAACTTACTTTGCCAGCCATTCAGCAACAGCTTTGTTCTCTGCAGTTTGCTTTTTATTCAGTCTGTCTGTTGGTTCTTCTCTCCTCAGCTTTGCATATGGATGTTTGGGACAATGACGGTTTGCATGCGTGAATCTGCTTACGCATCCTTATTAAAAAGACAAGACAGACATACCAATAATTTAAACAAAGACATTCTACTATCTTTCCATGTTTAAAACGCAAACACTGCTCGGCCCAGAAAACATAACATTCAAAACATACACCAAGTGGAGTTTTTCTGTAGTTAGTGTTACAAAGTAGACACTAGTACTTGGCAACCAAAATTCTGGCTTACGTGTTCCCATCAGTGTATAAAACTCTCAGGTTCTGGGCCCCTTTAGCTTTCCAAATTTCTGTTGCATGCCCCTCCCCACTTATTCCAAAGATATATTGCCCTATGGCCACACATGCTGACTGGCCATGAAATGTCTTTCCCCCCTTCAAGCTACATAATCCCCATAGGTCCTTCCTTCTAAGGAAGCAAGGGGCCTACACAAATACTCCCCTCCTCCGTATTCAAGCACACAGCTTCAGCTTTCACCATTTTCAGCGATCCCAACCCCCCCACGCCCAGTCTTAGTGCTTCACTACATGATGCATTCTTTCAAAAATGCTTTCTTTTCACACATTCCAGGCAAAGTAAAGCACTCAGTATCACCAGTTTTAGCTGAGGAATTAAATATTAGTTGAACACCCTCCCATAGATTTCAATGGATTTTTTAAGCACTTTATTTTACTGTTAATACTGTTATTTTTTCAAACTAGTAGTACACATAATCTTCCTTCCCTCTCGTATAATACATATTAGAAGCAGGCACGTCTTACTCCCAATTGTATTCACAGTAGTTTATTTGAACAAAAGTTAATTCTGTCTTGGCTCACCATTTTCGGCGCACACAAAAGGTTTTTCCCCTGTATGGAGACGTTGGTGCGTTTTAAGTTGCCCACTCTGAACAAAAGCTTTCCCACACTCTGGGTAGTCACACAAATAAGGCCTTTCACCTGGGGAAAAAACAATCATGGGGTTGAAAAGGGTATTTGTAGAAATAAAAGCACTGAAAACTCATTCTGAAAAGTGTGTTACTTTTGTTAGTATTGTAAAGCCGTCAAATTTTAAAATGTTTTTAGTTACTTTGAAATATAATTAAGGGACAACAACCAAGATGTACATAAAATTCAGAATGGACCAAGTGCTGATGCTCTAGCTGGCATGCTACTTGACTACACACCTTTAATTAATCTCTCTGATATACATTCTCTGCTTCCAAGTTACTGCAAAAGGTACATCCTATCACGGACGTAGGCAGGATTTTTGTTGGGGGGGGGCAGAACCTCAGTTTGCTATTTTTATTGCTGGGGAGCAGCTGCCCTTCTTTGCCCCCCACCCCCCAGGCTGGCTATGCCCATGCACCCTATATTTCCTCATTTAAACAATTCAACAGAATGGGCATTATTCAAAGTTAAGATTCTTTGAAGTCCCATTGGTTTAAAGTTCTCGCATTGAAAGGAAAATCCTATAGCCCATGGGTAGGCAAACTAAGGCCTGGGGGCTGGATCTGGCCCAATCGCCTTCTAAATCTGGCCCATGGACGGTCCGGGAATCAGCGTGTTTTTACATGAGTAGAATGTGCCTTTTTAATTAACATGAATCTCTGGGTTATTTGTGGGGCATAAGAATTCGTTCATTCCCGCCCCTTCAAAATATAGTCCGGCCCCCCACAAGGTCTGAGGGACAGTGGACCAGCCCCCTGCAGAAAAAGTTTGCTGATCCCTGCTATAGCCCTTTGGAGGGTGCCAGAGATGACACAGCAGGGAGTTCTGCTGTTGGATTTCCCTTCCGCATCAACCCTGAAATCTGAAGTGTGTTAGTCCAACATATGTCAGAACTTTGATGCTGTAGGCCCGATATGGGGCTTGTTTGGGGGGATGCCAGGGGAGAAACGAGAAACTGCAGAATGCAAAATCATTCCTCCTTCACTTCTGCTCTCCTGGGTTGAACCTAGCAAGCCTTTGTATCGGGCACCTGAACTGCCTTAGGTTCACTCCCAAATCTTAGCTGGCTAGTGGCCCTAATTCCAAAGCAAGTGTCAAAAGCTTCAGAGTGTCTTGTTGTCGCCTTCTGCCTGGATAAACTTGAAGAAGCAGAATCCTTGTGACCAACTTAGGAGTTTAAGGAAAGAGAAAAAACAGAAGATGCAAACCAACCACCTACTTCCCACCCCAAATGATATCTTGTGTTTGTTCACTTGGAAGCCAGGCCCAGTATAAATGTAATTAAAAGACTATCACAGTATTTCATTACTGTATTTTAATATTTTGTTGGAAGCCGCCCAGAGTGGCTGGGGAAGCCCAGCCAGATAGGCGGGGTATAAATATTATTATTATTATTATTCCATACTTTGGTGAAGCTACAGTGTTTATTAAGAGACAGGTTTACAGAAGAGCAACAAGGAAATATGGAACACATGCAGTTGCAGTTCAGGGGAATTATTTGAGCCTCCCCACAAATTACCGTAAATGTATCTCTCACAAAAAGTTATAAGCAAGGAAGAAACTAAAGAAGCCTCTATTACATGATTAAATGTGTGAAATACTTGCTCTCATTTCTTTAAGTGTCAGCGATTATAGAGCTGGAAAGGGACCACAAGGGTTATCTAGTCCAACCCCTCACAGTGCAGGAATCATTTGCCCATTGTCGGGCTCGAACCCACAACCCTGAGATTAAGAGTCTCATCCACTCCCAACTGATCTATCCCAGTTGACACCCTTGGAATGAATACTTCCAAGGCTACTTCATTAATTGCCATTAATTTGATTTTAATTAATTTTTATAATGAAATGTTTTAGAATGTTGGATTATTTGATTGTTGTTAGCCGCCCTGAGCCCGGCTTTGGCTGGGGAGGGCGGGATATAAATAAAATTTATTATTGTTATTATTATTATTCACCTGGACTTCAGATTGTAGCTGCAATGCCATTGTTGTACTATTACAAACAGACGGTATCATGTTATGAAATTCCACCCTATCACAAATTCCAATTAACACTTTAGCCTATTTTTCTCCAGGACCCATGCTTTGACAGAATATCCATGCTTGATTTCCCCCCTTATTGACTTGTTCCACTTACCAGTGTGAGTTCTTTTGTGGGCCTGTAAAGACTTTTCTCGTGGGAATACTCTGTTGCAAACACTACAACGAATCCTGCTTGAAGAGTGCTCTCCCTCGCTTATTAGATCTCGGACGGTGTCTGCTCTTGGTCGACCTCTTCTAGTCCCATCCTGGTAAATAAACAGGCCGTTATCAAATGCTTCCCAAGAACTACTATATAAAAGGTGGTGGGGCATTAGACCTCAGTTCATAGGCCAGTGGAGCTGTTGCAGGCATTTCCTGGCACAAAACTACAGTCACAACTTGCTAGAGCCCAAAACACTGGCATTTTTGTCAGCACCTGTTTGCTGAATATGCGATCAATACATTTAATACGTACATAACTAATTATATCTTATTGTGCTTGGTATCTTACTGGACAATTTGCACAATGCCAGTCTGACATTGCACTGCATACTGTCCAACATTTCTCCAATGAAAACAGGGCCATCTCATTCTATAATAATGCCAATGATTTTATTATTTATACCACAACCATCTGACAGGGTAGGCTCAGCCACTCTGGGTGGCTTCCAACATAAATAAAAACCAAATAAAACATTAAACATTTAAAAACTTCCCTATACAAGGCTGCCTTTCGATTTCTTCTAAAGATTGTATTACTTATCCCCTTATTTAAATGCTGGCCTTGAATTGTATCTCCTTAGTTCAGGGATCACATATCTCCATACCCTCCAACACAAGGGCACTTGGAGGGACTGGCATTGTGAAGATGCTCCCGCCTAGGTCAGCGTGTGGCTCCCTTATCCCTGCCTTTCTGCGAGTCTCAAAAGAAAAAGAGCGAAGAACGATGTTAAATTGCAGCAGTGTTCGCAGCCGCTGTCTGGGGGTATGTGTGTGCCACTTATTCAGGAAACGTGTTCTCTACCAAGCTGGTGTGGCGTAATTTTTACACATTACTTGGGAAGACAGGCGAATTAATTCCAGCGTACTGGAAGAAGCAAAGATCATCACTGTTGAAGCAATGATTCTTCAACATCAAATACGGTGGACTGGTCATGTTGTGCAAATGCCTGATTATTGTCTTCCAAAGCAACTACAGTACTCTATTCTGAACTTAAAAATGGAAAGCGTAATGCTGGTGGTCAACAAAAGAGGTTTAAAGTCTCATGGCATATCTAATAAAAATGTAGTATAAACACCAACAACTGGGAAACACTGGCCTGCGAGTGCTCCAATTGGAGAACAGCCTGGACCAAAGGTGTCATGGGCTTTGAAGACACTCGAAACGTACTAAGAGGAAGGCATGCTTAGCAAACCCTCACCGTGATCAACTCCCGCCTGGAAACCAATGTCCCCACTGTGGAAGGACGTGTGGATCCAGAATTGGCTTCCACAATCACTTACGGACTCATTGTTAAGACTGTGGCAATGGAAGAATGCAGCAGCTAGACTGGTGACTGGGGGCGGCCGCCGAGACCACATAACACTGGTCTTGAAAGACCTACATTGGCTCCCAGTACGTTTCCAAGCACAATTCAAAGTGTTGGTGCTGACCTATAAAGCCCTAAACGGCCTCGATCCAATATACCTGAAGAAGCGTCTCCACCCCCATCCTTCTGCCCAGACACTGAGGTCCTGTGCTGAGGGCCTTCTGGTGGTGCCCTCACTGCGAGAAGCAAAGCTACAGGAAACCAGGCAAAGGGCCTTCTTGGTAGTGGCACCTGCCCTGTGAAACGCCCTCCTACCAGATGTCAAAGAGAAAAACAACTACCTAACTTTTAGAAGACATCTGAAGGGAAGTTGTTAATGTGTGACATTTTAATGTATTTTTGATCTTTGTTGGAAGCCGCCTAGAGTGGCTGGGGAAGCCCAGCCAGATGGGCAGGGTACAAATAATAAATTATTGTTATTATTATTACTCGGATCGCCAAAGGAGAAAGAAGTGAGCCTCCGGCTGGGACCTGGGAGGTCCCGGTTCAAACCCCGACTCAGGTGGGTTAGAAATGTAAAATGTAAAAAGAAACAAAACATGTATGCCAAATATTCAGGAAGCAGAAGATTGCCGTTTATTTAAGAGTTGTATCAACCGGACATAAGGAGGCGAAGAAGAATGGCAGATGAAGATGATGGATTTTTTGGAGCTAGCTGACCTAACCGGAAGAGTCCGCGACCAGAAGGAGGAGGAGTATCAGGAAGATTGGATCAAATTTAATGATTACTTAGTTAAACATGTTAAGTTAAACTAACTGAAAACAGCTTGCAGATACTTAATTGGCTTAGGATTTTATTTAATTTAAGTGATGAATTAATAGGTTTAATTCCATAATGTGAAGTTCTAAGGATGTTAATGTTTAAGTTAAATTATTTTAAGAACTATGATTTGGAAAACCGTTAAAAGGACATGCAATGAAATTCAACCAAGGGGATGCGAGGAAGTCACTTAACAATGTTAATAAGTGTAATTTTTAATAGGATTATGATTTATTTGTGTTTGTTTGTTTATAAGGTTGTAAAAATCAATAAAAAAAATTGGGGAAAAGGGGGGACATAAGGAGGGGAGGTTGCTACCGTCGTTGTTGTTATTTAAAGGGCGCAGAGAGAGCGCGCGCGCCCTCTTTAAGCACCGCAGGTGCCAAAGGGAGCTGCTCCTCCGCGCCCAGCCGCGAATTTCGAGCGTGCGCGCGCGCGCTACCACGCGGGAAAAAGCGGAGGCGCGCGCGCGCGGGGGGGGACGACCTCTCAATACACACACACCCACACCCGCTTTTGGCGCGCGGAGGTGTCGTCACCCAGCGCGTGAATCACTCGCGGAAGTGACTTAACTGCACTCAAACACACACCAAAAAAAACAGAGCACCCGAGGGGGCGGGGCCGGCCGGACGTTGGCCAGAACCCTTTAAAAAAAGGATCCCTTTCCCCTCAACCGCCGCCGCCGCGCGCCTTTCCCTGCCCCGCCCCCTCCAGGGGCTCTTAACCCCTTCGGCGCCGCACTCACCCTCAAGTGCCCGCCGCCCCCGATGCCGCTGTCCGGGCTGCCCGCCTCCTCGTCCTCTCCGCCCGAGCGCCCCGCGGCTCCACGGACGCCGCCGCCGCCTGCTCCTCCTCCTCCACCTCCTCCGCCATCGCGGAGAGGCTGCGGCGTGGCCGGCGGGGGGCTGAGGGTGACGTTGTGCGCGTTCTCCCCCCAGCGCCACGGGTAGACCATGAAGTCGCTGAAGCCCGGGCTGGTGGGGATGGGCGGCGGCGGGGGCGCGCGGCCGTCGGCTCCGCGGGGCGGCTTGACGGGGGTGGTCTTGATGACCGAGACCAGGACGCGCTTCGGGGAGTCGCCCGGGCACAGGAGGGCGGGCGCGGGGAGGCCCGGCCGCTCCGACATCCTGCGCCGGGAGTCGCCCTCTCGCACGCTCCGCTCCGCCGCCGCCCTCGGCTCTTCTCCGGTGCCTGAGGGGACGCCTCAGGGGTGCATGGCCGCGAAGCAGGCAGAGCTTTTCCCCTCAGGGACGCCGCCAACCCCGAAGCAGCCGCGGCCTCTTCCCACACGCGGCTTGTCACCCAGCAGCGGCCGCAACCCTGACCGCCGCCGCCGCCACCGAATCCAAGACTTTCCCGCGTTACATTTCGCGCCTGGGCGGAACCAATCACCAAGTCGAGCGCGGACGTCAGGAGAGTGGCGGGCTGCCGCGGCCAATGGCGCGCGGAGAAAGCGCCCAGCTCCCTCACTTCAAAGGCGGGCGGCTGGGAAAAGGTGGGACTTAGCCGTAGCGGAGCTCAGCCATTGGCTGGCGCTTGGCCGTCTCCGGCCAACAGAATTCGAAAATCTCCTAGGGTGGGTGGGCCGCCGGCATCCCACCAAGGCCCGCCCCCGGCTGTCCTCATGTGAAGAATTGTGCTTGGTGCTGATTGGCTGTGGGCAGGAGAGAGGCGGGTTCTGTCGCTGGCGGTTAAATGCGCAGTAAACAGGCTTTGGGCGCGTTTGGCGCGTTATTTAGTCCCAGGCGTCTGGCCAATCACAACTGCCGACGCAGCTCTCTAGGCGCGCTAAGCAAGAGGCCACCTGAGCGCTTATCACGTGACAATCTCTATTTAAATGTAATTAATGAATCAGAATAGGGACGCGGGTGGCGCTGTGGGTAAAAGCCTCAGCGCCTAGGGCTTGCCGATCGAAAGGTCGGCGGTTCGAATCCCCGCAGCGGGGTGCGCTCCCGTTGCTCGGTGCCAGCGCCTGCCCACCTAGCAGTTCGAAAGCACCCCCGGGTGCAAGTAGATAAATAGGGACTGCTTACTGGCGGGAAGGTAAACGGCGTTTCCGTGTGCTGCGCTGGCTCGCCAGATGCAGCTTGTCACGCTGGCCACGTGACCCGGAAGTGTCTGCGGACAGCGCTGGCCCCCGGCCTCTTGAGTGAGATGGGCGCACAACCCTAGAGTCTGTCAAGACTGGCCCGTACGGGCAGGGGTACCTTTAATGAATCAGAATAGGGAAATGTGCTGCGCTGGCTCGCCAGATGCAGCTTTGTCACGCTGGCCACGTGACCCGGAAGTGTCTCCAGACAGCGCTGGCCCCCGGCCTCTTAAGTGAGATGGGCGCACAACCCTAGAGTCTGTCAAGACTGGCCCGTACGGGCAGGGGTACCTTTAATGAATCAGAATAGGGAAATGTGCAGTTTGACGGAAACACGCTTATGTTAATTAGCTAAAACTGTGATAAACAAGAAAAGACGTTGTGCCAGTCTAATATATTGGGCTTTAAAGCCCTGGTTCTCAATAGAATGGAATTATTCCCCAAACCTAGAAGAAAATTGTTGTGGGTGAACATATCCGACGACACAGCTCTTATTTATTCACAGGCCAGAACAGAACTGAACTGAAGGGTTCAGCCAACCTGGTTATATAGAGCTCCACTAGAACGCAACTGTAACACTTTCTGTAACTATCCAATCACTGAATGTCACTTTCAATCCCTTATTTGCATATGTGGACCTGAGTGAAAACTATCTACGGTATCCCCCTGATGGCCCTGGTTGAGAACTTTAGTACGTAACAAAAATAGTGTGCCAAAGTACAGTGGTACCTCGGGTTACATACGCTTCAGGTTACCATAAAGCACCAATGCTGCAGCAAGCAAAGGCTCTAGCAGCTCAGCCAGCTGCTTGTGGCTGGAAAGCCAGGCAGGATGTTTGTGACTGTTGCCATGGGAACAAAGGGGCAGTCCATTCTGTACTGAGCACCGGATGTTAGCTCAGTGTGTGTGTGTCTTATGACCCGTACTGGATGTACTTGGGAGGAGTTTCTTCTTGCTGTTGTTGAGTGCAGACATGATTCTCTGTACTGATGTAAGAGGCAGAAATAAATGATGTAAATAGTTTTCTGTCTGCTTCTTTCCCCCCCTGGGGACACCAAAGGGGAGAGAGGAAGAACGGTGTGTTCCTCTCATACATCTGAGAAGAATCGCCGGACCTCGCCTGCTTATCAGCAGAGTGGAGACGCGGGGAGGTCGACAGGAATATCTGCCGGTGCCTACGCTGTGGCACATTCCTCTGACCCAGGCAGAATTCCAACAGTGGTAGCAGAGGATGGTTGCGATTCATCGGACATCTGCATGAGAGGCTGGTGGATTGTCCTCCACTGCTCCTAAGGAGGAATAGAAGCGTCTGAAAGAAGCCAGAGGCTCCACAGACAGCTGGTGGAAAGAAGAGGTGTTTTCCAGAGCAACAAAGTTCAAGGTATGCTGCATTTCGGGCTAAAAGTGTGAACGCAGGAAGATTAATTCCTGGTTCACGGAGCTGCGTTTCAAAGAAAACACAAGCTCCGTGAGGAAGAGGCCTGCAGCTTGAAGGCTGAAGCCTGCATTCCACAAATTGTTGTGGTAGATAAGGAGTCCCATTGAAATGCATTGTTGCTAGGTAACGGTCCTGGAAAGTTACTGGCAAAGGGGCTGGACTCTGAGTGTAAGCCTGGGAAAGCGAAACAAAACCAGAGAATGTTTTGGCTACAAGGTTTACGAGCTCTTGGAAGGGACTTTTCAATAGCAGCCTGAGTTTAGCTGCCAGGTGCAAAGAGCGTAAACAATTTGCAGTTTGCTGCGTGAGAAAGAAAAAAACAACTGTTGGATTTTACAGTTTGTTTGACATTGTGAGCTGGAGGCTTGGCTTCAAGATGGATGCCAAGAAAGGAGGTTTGCCTTGCCCACCTCCCTTAACCAATGACAATTATTCATCTTGGTCTGTAAAGATGAAGGCCCTGCTGCAGAATCAGAGGCTTTTTGATGTAATTGAAAACCCCATCCCTGCAGCACCAACCAGAGGTTGGGAGTCACAGAATGTAAGGGCCAGGACTGCTATAATTCTGTGTGTCTCAGATGATCAGTTGGTGCATGTTCAGCATTTAGAAAATGCGAAAGAGGTATGGGACACGCTGCGTACAACGCATCAGAGAGATGCTGGTTCTTCAGCGTTGCTGTATTTTGAGAAATTGACCAATCTGAGACTTGCGCCTGATGGAGATGTTCAAGCGCACCTGACAGAAATGAAGTTTCTGCGTCAACAGATGGTGGAACGCAATTTCCGTCTTCAGGAGGAAGTGTTTTGCTTCATGATGATAAACAGCCTTAGCCGCACCTACAAGGTTGTTGCCAGTCAGCTTGGTTCCCTACCGGCCGCGCAGCTGACCGCGGAGAGAGTTTGTGCTGTGGTCCTGAATGAACACGACAGACTTGCTGCACTGGAAGAAAAAGAAATGGGGGGGAATAACAGAGTTCTAATTCCCCCACTGCTGATGCTACTGGAGAGCATGGTGTAGCATTGAGTGCTGTCCGATGCTACAATTGTGGACAGACTGGGCATCTACAGCGAAACTGTAAGAAGCCGCGCCAGTCAAGAGGAGCAAAGAGCAGCTCTACGAAGCCTCAGGCGTCAGGCAAAAGCCGTTCCAAGTGCCAGGTGAAACCTGCAAAGGCTATGATGGCGAAAGGAACCACGCCAGATGTTGGGAACTCGTTCATAATTGACACGGGCGCAACGGTTCATATGTGCCCGCACAGAGGACTGTTTTCGACGTTGAAGAAGCAAAGCTTCACTGTGAAACAGGCCAACGGTCAGGAGTTGGAAGCGACTGGAATTGGGACTGTGTATCTTGAGAGTCTGAACTTGACTATAAATGATGTTTACCTGGTTCCAGAACTGAGATTTAATCTGCTGAGCGTGTCGCAGATTGCAAAGAAAGGACTGAAACTGTCCTATGATGCTAAAAGCTGCAAGATCTACAAAGATGGAGAACTGTTTCTTACTGCCAAAGAGAAAGATGGACTGTATTTGTTGACTTTTGATCAAAGTGATTACATGAAATGTAATTCTTCTGTTTCTAACGAAATCTCTCTTGCAGGGGTGACCATGACCAGTGTGAGCACCAGGAAGGTGACTAAGACGAAGAAGGTCAACAGAGCATTTCAGCGGGTGTATGCTGATGTGATTGGTCCTCTAGAACCATCTAGAGGCGGTGCAAAATATTACCTTTTGTGTGTGGATTGTTTCACTAATTATTCTTGGGTTTATATGATGGAGAAACCGCAAGAAACTTTAGAAAAGTTTCAGGAGTTTTGTGACAAGGTTAAAAGTATGCATGATGCTAACATTGATTGTCTTTTCACAGATGAGAAGCAAATTTTTCTGTTGCAGAAGTTTCAGAAGTTCCTGGATGGAAAAGGGATAGACCACAAAGTGGCAGTTTCGCAAGAAGCGTGGAACAGGGGGGTCTGTGTAAGAGTGAACAAAGAATTGCAAAAGGGGATGAATGCGCAATTGCTGAGTTCACATTTGCCACATGAATATTGGGCCGAATCGCTAGCGTCCTATCTTCATGTGTGGTTGAGAAAAGTCTCAACAGAGTTGGGATGTTCTCCTTTTGAGAAGCTGTTCAATAGAAAACCTTCTGTTGCCTATTTTAAGGTTTTCGGGTCTCATGTGAGAACAGAAGCTCCAGGTGGAGTAAAGAATGCCAGAGGCATTTTCGTAGGTTATGAAAAAGGTCTCTACAGAGTAATTTTGTCTGAATCTGGTCAGGTGATTCTCACAAAGTTCCTAGAGAGTGCTCCAAAGCAAGAGCGGATAGTACAGACATTTCCCACAGGAAACGATTCTGATGATGATGATGATGAGTTTGATCTTATTGAGTTCAGTAGTACTGATGATGACAGAGATAGCTCAGACAGTTCAGTTGTCACAGTCATTGAGAGGAAATCTCACACAATGGATAGACCTTCACAGGTGAAGGAAGAACCACTGATTGCTACTGGTTCTCAACAGAGTCCAAAGGTTGAACCAGTGAGCACAGAGGATCAGAACCTCATACGTAGGTCTGAGAGAGCAACGAAGGGTGTACCACCCAAGAGGTATTCAAAGGAGTTTGCTAACCTTGCATATGTTGCTATTGTAAACGACCAAGGACAGATTGAAGCTGTGTCTGAGTCAGAGACAAAGGCACAACAGAGAGGTGTTAACCAAGGTAATGCGAAGTCACACAACCAGAGAGGTACATTGGTTAAACCAGTGGCGGGTAGTTCCAAGGGTGGAACTGAAACAACAGGGGAATGTTATAAATATAACAACTGTTTGTTTTCTTCTCTGGATGACGCTTTGCTCGCGGCACACATTGATACTTTAGGGGGAGTATGTTACCATAAAGCACCAATGCTGCAGCAAGCAAAGGCTCTAGCAGCTCAGCCAGCTGCTTGTGGCTGGAAAGCCAGGCAGGATGTTTGTGACTGTTGCCATGGGAACAAAGGGGCAGTCCATTCTGTACTGAGCACCGGATGTTAGCTCAGTGTGTGTGTGTCATATGACCCGTACTGGATGTACTTGGGAGGAGTTTCTTCTTGCTGTTGTTGAGTGCAGACATGATTCTCTGTACTGATGTAAGAGGCAGAAATAAATGATGTAAAT